CAGTACGTAAAGTAAATAAGACAAGACAAGACAAGATGATAAATTTACACTCAGCTCAGTTTTACATGACATAAAGGTTAAATTTTCATAAGCAAATAAACACAGTACAACTAAGGAATAAAAGAAAAATTGTAACAACAAAATAGAGAGCAAGGTGGGATCATCCAAATAGTAAAGGCTAAGATAAGTTTGGATACCTTTCTACTTTCTTTTTGATGAACAAAGGAGGACTTGGTATGAGGTGTGAGCTGTCTCTTTGATGGCCTCTGCCTTGGCTGTGGCATTGATGAGAGCTTATTGGCACGATCAACCAACACTTTCTGTAAAAAGAATACAGAAAAGGACTGAAGAAAGGCAGGGACTAATATAGGGGCCCATTGGATAGAGGTGAGATTTGCTGGCTGTACAGTTATCACCTCAAACTTCAGATCTGCAGGTCCATGTCCAAGTGTGGCCATTACATTGCTTCCATGGACAAAAGACTTTGCTTCACAATGTCTCTCTTCACCCAGGGCCGAGTTGTTCAAAGCCGGGTTAAGATAACCCAGGGTTAGTGTGAGATTTGAATTCAGATTTGAAAGCTTAAAAAGCATTTCAGTTTTAATTATTTTTGTCTACAAGTTGATGATTGGAAGCTCTAAAAATAACAGAGAAAATTATCCGAGAAAATGCTTTTGAACACAAGAAAAAGAAACCAGGGTTAAATTTAACCCCGGGTTAAACGCTAATCGGCCTTCGAACAACTGGGCCCAGGTGTTTAAATTGCTTGCGTGGGGAGGGAGGCCTCCATGAGGTTTACATACATCATTTTTGACAGAAAACGTACCAGCCTTCCATATACCTTCTACTGACAAATGTTACCCCTTTCTCATACCTAGTTTAGAACCCTGTATCTGCACCATCTTTTTGATATGAATAAAGCAGGCAGTTTTCTTGTCTCTTTCACACCTGTGAAATGTGCCTTTTAGCCCTTTTTGGTCCTTTCAAATACCAAGAGATTTCCCTACCCTCCTTACATACTCTAATGTATGAAACCCCTACCCTTTCATATATGAGAACCCTGAAAAGGGTACCCCTTTTTGTTGGAGCCTAACCTTATAGACCATTATAGGGAGTCCCCTGCCCCTACCCCTAGGTAAAGGGGTACCTGGAGTGACATACTGCTGGGGACAACCCTCACAATGGACTAACAATATCCCATCCAGGGAGGAATAAGCAACACACAGATTGCTGAAGTGAAAATTTTCACTGTCCAGGGATTAGGGCAGAGAGGCCAAAAGAAAGGGAACACACAAGATATGGTGTGGTCTTTTCACTTCCTGGCCTTTGTTACCAGTTTTCACTGCTAACTTCTTAGTACCAATAATATCAGTCTAGTATGAATTGTGAATAAATAAGTAACAATAATTAATAATATCATTACTTTGAACTGCTCCTCTGTCTCCACTTCTATTAGTAGCTGTCTCGTCTCCATATCACAAAGCAGAGTTGCAAATGTTCTTCCTGTCTCTACTGAGTTCTTGGTTTTTTTCTACAAGGAAAAGGAAAATATTAGGAGAAAAAAATTGAATCAACATCAGCTTCATCACTGACCTTGCCATCAGTACCATCACTACAATTGTCATAATCAGTACCGCCAAACATCATCACCATCATTCTCATCATTGCCAACAGCAACCTCATCATCAATATCATCAGCACCATGATCATCAGTTCCCCCACCACTATCATATCACCATTTTTATCATCACTGCCAACAACAATATCACCATTTTCATCAAACCTGCCAACAATATCACCACCATAGAGTTCTAAAGTGATGACATCATAAAAATTAAATTTGTGAAATCAGGGGATTTGTCAAGATATTCTGAAAGAAATCCTTCTTAATCTGACTTGTGTCTAAATGTTTAGACCCATGTCAAACTTAGAAGGATTTGTATGGAGTCATCAGAGCATAACTGGGCTAATATCTCAGGGACAATTTGCCCCACAATGCTAGTTCTTGTCAAGTAGGCCTCTTGGATGTTGTTCTTTCAGAATATCCTGACACAAATTTAGTTTTTTATGACGTCACACTTAAATACTCTATTATCATCACTGCCAATGTCACCATCAATGCTACCACCATCACTACCATTTTCATCATCACTGCCAACAGCATCACCACCATTATCATCCCAGGGGCCCCACTCACATATTTTAATGACGGGGGGGTCCAAAGGATTTTTTTGGGTCGCGAAAACAACACAGGGTTTTTTTGGGGTATTGCATTTTTCATCAGCTCAAATCAACAATAACATCAGGGCAATTTACTGCTTGTGTGGTACTACGGGATATTTCTGAGATTGTAATCTATGTGAAAAATAATTAATTACTTTGTTGAAGTTGGCATGTTTTCGATTTCCAGAAGATAAATAATAAAATTTGCTGATGCAAAAACACTGAGGGATTTTTTTGGGTATGCTAAAAAAAGTAGGGATTTTTTTGGGTAGAAAAATTCTGAAGTTGGGATTTTTGGGGGTATAAAATATGAACCTCTGTCGGACCCCGCCATCATTACAATATGTGAGTGGGGCCCCTGGGATTATCATCCTCACTATCATCACCATCACTGCCACCAATGTTATCACTCCTAACAACATCTTCACCAATGATTATCATCTATCAACATTATTACCATCACTGCCACCACCATCATCACCATCATTGCCATCATCATTACCCTCATTAATATCATCTCCACTAAAAACAGGTACTTACTGTTTTTCTTGGTGCAAGAACCAGTACCACTAAGTGAGTTTCCTCTAATGTCCTTCCTAGATTAACAGGGTGCTTCAACTGAGCTATAGCAACATGACTCTGTTGTACTGATGGTAGCTCTCCTCTGTAACATTAAAACAAGTTATTACCCATTGGAACATGAGACCACAATGAACTGAATGATTCAATGTCTGTTTCATGATGCTAAACATCAGCTTTTGAAGCAAATTAATCACAACAATTAGTCTGGAGACCTGACTGGATATGGCGATACAAGGTTAAAACAATGTTTTTGTTTGACAGTCAAGGAATTACATTTACGGCGTTGTCGTATATTGAAGTTTTGGGGTATAGCAGCTGGATACTCAATAAAAAAAATTCTGAACTTACAGAGCAATGAGCCAATTCTGAGTTTCCTCCCAACCTCCTCCTTCAGATATCTCAGTTCCTTGAATTATTTGTGACAAACAATGAACTGCAAGAAAAAAAAGAACAGTACATCGTACAGTATGAACTATATCATTATGAGTTGTGGTTCAGTTTTATCCTTCTTTGTTTATTTTTCTGTCTCATTATCATACATGTACATTAACATTCCCTACAACAAAGAAAAACAAAAATAAAACTTAAGATATAATTTATTAAACCATGACATATATGCGCAAAATGTATTTTTGCTAATGGTTTGAACCAGAAATCACCTGAGCACTGTTTTTCAGAAGTTGAAAAGCACCTAGACAATTTGCTGTCCTTGAGCCAATACACATTATCGGTATTATACACTAGATAGAGATTTCCCCAGCACCTGTCAGGCTGGTGAAAATTTATTTTGTCTGACCTGAATCTTGAGTGAAAAAGGCAATTCTGGCATCTTCAAAATTTATGTCCTCATCTTCAGAATCAGTAATAATTTTCTTTAACATAGCATCAACAATCCCCTCTAAGCTTGTCTCTTGGAGTCCAAGAAGTAAAGTGGGCCGTTCAAGGAAAGTCTCAATATCTTTTGCTGCTCGGATCTCTTCAGAAAAGTTCTTAGAAACAAGTTTCTGAGAGGAAAATGAAGGAACAAAAATACAATGAGTTCTAGTTTCTGTTAGTAAGTAACTCTCTCTCTCTTGGCAATTATTGCTTGTTACAATACAAATTAAGGGAATGGGAATGATTACCTATCTAGAATTTAAAGACATTATTTTTCTTTTGAGTTGTAAAATCACTAGTCTTCTTCGTAGCCGTCTTTAGGCTCGTCACGCAACTTGTGGGGAGGAGCGTTGTGTGACGAGCCTAAAAATGGCTGCGAAAGAGACTATAAAATCACCTGGATGCTTGAAATATGTGATCTTCATTTCCATGAAAGAAGTTGTTTCCAGTTTTACAATCCTACCATACAGCCATTATATTAATTTTTCTTTCATCACTTGCGATGACAAAAAAGGGAATTATTTGATTTCACTCAGTCCTATTACCAGTAATTTTTTTGTTTTTATTGTTTGGTTTGCTACCCTGCGAACAACTTTGCAAATGCTAAAAGCCATGCCAGAAATGAACCTCTGCTCGCAGGGTAGAGGTGTGCAAATAAATTCTTCATATTTGCTTTCCTTTCTTGTTTTGTCAGTTTTAATAATTTAATCATTTTTGATATTTAATTTTTTAGATGTTGACATTGTGAGGGGCCTGATCAGCCTCATACTCACAGAAAATTAAATGAGGATGTCATCTTTAACAAGACAGTAAAACATCACTCACTTGGTGATTTGACAGCATCAAAGAAGTGTCAGGACCATCTTCCTCAACAGAATCTGAATATTAATTTTAAAGTTATTTAAATGAAGGCAGGGTTATTACGAAATAAAACATATCTTCAAACAGTAACTTTTCAGTTAATTAGGTTGCTAATGTTTCTTTTATTTTATAATTCATTCCTTATTATCCTAACCGTAGGTAACAACAAATAACAAAAATAGTGGGAAAAAAACTGTCTGTGGGTAATTAGGACAATGCGAGATCTTCCCGTCAAAAGATTAGATAATACTGTCTAAACAATGTCTAAAGAACATTTAATACCACCACGACATTTTTTGAAATCAAGGTAAACCCAAACAAAATTTAATTTAATCGAGAGCAAATACTAGACTTCAGTGTTTACAATTTCGAAATATTGACAGTCAGTTGCTTACGTAATTCAGGAGAAGGCAAACACGTGGGCCACTCTGCAAGGCAAAATTTTTTCATTTTATTTTTATTTTCCCTAAAAGTGTATTAGTAAATACTTCCCTTTTTTTCTACCACGTTTCGTTTTCGAAAGATCTCGCGTGAAAACTTTTTATTTAATTCGTTGTATGAAAGTGAAGCTTTCTTAAATTTTTTTGTTTTACGCGAATCGACATGTGGTAATCTACATGAGTACGACAATGAAGTTGCTCGCTCGGAAAATTGCTCCAGACAACACATATACCTATACGTAAACATACTCATTTCTTTGTTCATTGAATACACTGCGTACGTTAGTTCAGTAAATAAAAGAAAACCATCACCTTCAACTAAACTTGCTCCGGTCATTGTATCGTCACCATGCAGCTTTGGTCCGCATTCCGGATGTAGCGCAATGATTTCCAAATCCTTGTCTTCGCCGTTTGAAATTATATGCATTGGAATAACTGTTAGGTCTGTTTCACCTCTTCTTTCTCCTCCTTCTGTACTCCCTTTTACAGCAGAACAATTATTCTCGTTGTCCTTTGCGCCATCTGAACTTTGAGTGAAGGGTCTATCCATGCTATATTTTCAGCTGTTTGAAACTAGCAAACAGATTTCAAGCCTTCAAGAGGGCGAAAGCAGTTCAAAAATCTCAACAAACTCCTCATTTCTAAACACATCACAGAAGTGAACACAAGCAGCTATTAAAATGTTTTATCTAGTAAAAAGAGCGCCCGCTAGGTTATTATTAATAACCCGCACCTTGCCGCCATTTTAAAAAGAAGCTACAATTCGCTATCTCTATTCTGATTGGCTGAGATTGCAACAGAAAACCAATCAAAGTCTTCACGAAAGGATTTGAAGTTTTTTTTTTCTTTGACATTTTTCATTTTTGATTTTTGTTTTACTTCCCAGTCAACAGCATATACCCAGAAAATATAGCACAAAATTTTGCTTGGGATAAAATTTTGGCAATCTGACATTTTCTCCCACGAAAATCGGCTGTCATATTTGCCCCAGGAAACAATTTTTTTCTGCACATTTCAGGCAAGTTCTTCCCGTACTTTCTAGTGGTTTTTAAAATATAAAAAAATATATATGTAAAGAAAACCATTATTTTGACCCATGGGTTATTTTTAAATCAATATTCAGTTTCTATCAGGTAACCCAGGAGATATTTAGGCGATGAACTTTTTGGTAACCTTACGTAATAGCAGGATACAAGAATAAATGTATCAGAGGCACCCAGCGAGGCACAAAACGACTTTTTTCAATAAAATATAAACTGTTCGCATTAAGGAATAAATATTGCCTAGAAATTTTGAAAAAGCTCGAGAAAGGCTTTAAGTTTCTGGATAACCGTTTTATCAGTTTAGTTTTTTTATCTATCCATCCAGTCTAGCTTAGTCTACATCGAGTCAACTGTCTAGTCTAATTACCAGAACTCACAGATTGCCCAGGCGTGATATGAGAGTTTCTATGTGAAATGTTCAAGAGTTTGTATGGCAAATAAAACTTACATCAAATAAATGAACTATAAGACCGAGGTTAAAGTCGTCAACAAACATTATATACATATATATTGTTACCTGGTGTTGTTGCTTTTCTTTGAGGTTTCAGTACGATTTGGGCATTATAAGATCATCTGACTATTATGACTGTCAGTACCAGGTCAGATGATGCTACACCGGGGGGACCTCGATCAATATTTGGGTATATGTTAGCCGCTGAGGGTTTGACACCTTGACTCTGTTTAGGACAAAAAATCCTAAAATACATACGTACCCTGTTTAGGTCAACACCCTCGATTTTGTTCCTATGCATGCTGTTTACGCAAGTTGAGAATAGTGACTTTACGCCACAGGACGGCAAAATATAGAAGAGGACAGCGAAACAATTGCGCGTGACAAACGTGAAAGGGCGATTACTTGCGTGCTTCGTCGTGATCTTTACCTAACAACACTGTTTTCTTGTTTTTTACAAAAAGATCTTGTTTAAAGGAGGGTGAAGTTTGGCAGAAAGCTTTTTCAAACAAAATTATTGTCACGTTTTTGTTTGCCGGTTTAGGACGAACAAAATGCACCCCGTCATGTGTTAAAATCCTCCCTTGGCAAGTGCAATAAAGAAAATACACGTTCTTTTCATTGCTTTTGTGCATACTAGGAGTTCAAGCAAAGTTTATCTAGCAAATCAAATCAATCGTGCAGAATAGGAAAAAACTGGCACGAAATTGTAAATCCTAGAGAGGTCAAAAGCCATACCCTGTCCAGCGGCACATCTCCGTATAGGCCATGCAAGGAAGTACATCCCCCGGGATATTTGTGCTCAAGTCATCCTGAAACTTTGTAGAAAAAGACATTGAAGACTCTTGATTTTCCAAACAAACTCTCATATTACACTTGGGCCAACTATGTTGGTACAGGAAGTGAGGGAAAGTCTACTTAATTGTGCTCTTCTTTCTTTGTGTTTTCGACTTTATCCCGGGGTAGTAATGTCTAACTCACCTATCTTTAGAGTCCAGGTCATGAGATTTTCAGTTCCACGCTGTCGTGTGCAAGGATATAGGACACGCACTTTGACACGTTTTGCAAGATCCTCGTTTCTACACATATTGTTTATTCACTCGGCATGGTAGACATATTTCGTTTCTTTAAAGTGCATATCACAAAAAATTGACGAATTCTACCAGCTGTTAGTTTTAAAATGAGGTATGATTTGGGTGAATCAGATGAAACCAGCGGTCTCCATGCTTGGTTAAAAAGTACTAAATTTGACTTTTTCGCCGATTTTGGTCAGAAGGCCGAGTAGATCGAGTTACATATTTTGAGGCATTTTTCTTAGCTTCTCCCCGCTAGCAAAACAACAACTTAGCACTTGCATCACGCTTTTTTGTACATTTCTTTGCCGTCACTGCAAAGGCGCTAAATATGTCACTCGCCTATATTCTCTCTTGCATACGGCCAAAACTGTCACGGCCTAAGATATAAATTCTGCATTTTTAAAAATCTGTGAAAAATTCAAAAATCGAAAAAAAAAACTGCGGCATTGTTTATTACAACTTTTCTATTTTTATTCTAGTGAAAAACTAATTTGGGGTTGATATGCACTTTCATGAGGACCCGCATACGACTTTCTTTTGCACACCACATGACGCCGGCGTTGTTAAGGATACTAAGTTTTGAGTGACAAGCAATAAACCTCCTACTGCGAAGAGCAATTTCTTCACCGTTTGATCCAACCATCAGTGGTCAGTAATACATTTTTTAACAAGATCAAGGCGGCATCTGGCGATAGAGTAATTAGAGAAGAGATTTCAATTTAACATACCGTGTACCTGTGATTTGCGTTCTCAGCTCACGAGTTATCCAGAATAATCGCGCATAGCCTACGACTCAAGCGTTGTCTTTCTGGTCTTTGCCAGTATTAAAATGTATCGTAGTTCCATATTGTATTGAACGTATTGAAGGTCGCAGAATTTAAATAGAATCGGGCGAAGGTTGCTAGATAAAAGCTTTGGTTCAAAATCAGTGTTGATTATTATACCTGCCAACTTTTTCTGAGATATAAGCGTGAGATTTCAGAGATTTTTATCCTGAGAGTGCTGGGATTTTTGAAGACGACACGATCATTTCTGAAGATTCCCGAAGAAGTCCGAAGTCTTCCGAAGACGTCCGAAGTCTGCCGAAGTCTGCCAAAGGCGAGCTCGCTCCCAGTGCTTTTCACTTCAAAAATCAGAGATCGCGAGGAAGGTATTTCCATTTCTTCATTTTACACATGGTTTTCGTTCCTTACATGGGTCTGAGTTAACGTATTTTTGGAAATTGTGTCAAGCAGGACGGCAACAACTCACTTTTTTCAATCAGGCGTGAGAAATTTGCCCGCAGGCGTGAGCCGGCGTGAGATCGAAGTTTTCAACCCGCAGGCGTGAGAGTTGGCAGGTATAGATTATGTATAACCCTCAGTCCGTGAACACACAGCATACTACTCATCGTAAAGGAAAGGTAGATGCCAAAGCAAATTGCAATCATTGATCTCCCAGGCTTTGTGTGTGCAGATTCAACCAAGTTTTTGGCCTGAGCTTGCTAAACTCTCGGGGCTAAACTGCAGTTTCCGCAGTGAATCGCTTCAGGCACGCGCTGGTGCGTTCATTCTCGTACTTCGATGGCCTCTCTCTGATGGAGTCTTGTACATTCAACGCACTATAGGTAAAAATTTAACCAAAACAATGAAATAATAATTGACTTTTTCTGTATATGGAAGAAGTGTGACATTATAATTTGAACTCTGATCGAATAAAGCCAGCATTGCATTCTTGAGATGATCGTAAAGGGCAGTGTGTGCGTCTCAGGTTCAGATGACATTAGGAGAAGAAGACGGTCTTCCTATGCCTTGAAAATTTTTCTGAGCCTAACGATATTACGATAAACGTGTAAGTGGTAATATTCATCGGCAGTCTGGTAGGCATTTTGATGTAGAAAACCTTAGATCTTCTGATTCGACTGCATTTGTTTGGTGACTATTATGCAGAACCTGCTGTCAATGATGTAAAGCGTGTGCAAACGGGCTACATAAAAAAAATTTCCGTTATTTAATGACGGATTTGCGGAAATAATATTAATTGTTAGCAGTAACTCGGCCTAAATTCCTAAAGATGTCATAGTAGAGGCAGAAAACACAAAGACCAAGCGATCAAATGGATTTGGTCGAATAGTGAAATCGTCATCCAGCGAAAACGTGCCCAAAGCCCGCGAAAAATTACCAAGTCTCGCCGCTGCCGCTATTTAACTCGTTATCCAGTCAAGAAAAAGCTATGTATTGGAGGAAAATGAAATCACTTGCGCACAGAAGAAAATTAAGGGTTAATATGTCTGATATGTTTTAGCTCGAGTAAGCGACTGTTATTGTAATGCCATGGTGTTCTAAGCTCCTAAGTGCAATTTTTAAAGCAACAGAAACACTAGGTGGCACGCCCGTGATTCTGTGAGTTAGACACCACGGTATTATGAAATCACTTGCGCACAGAAGAAAATTAATGGTTAATATGTCTGATATGTTTTAGCTCGAGTAAGCGAGTGTTATTGTAATGCCATGGCGATCTAAACTCCTAAGTGCAATTTTAAAGCAACAGAAACACTAGGTGGCACGCCCGTGATTCTGTGAGTTAGACACCACGGTATCATGAAATCACTTGCGCACAGAAGAAAATTAATGGTTAATATGTCTGATATGTTTTAGCTCGAGTAAGCGAGTGTTATTGTAATGCCATGGTGATCTAAACTCCTAAGTGCAATTTTTAAAGCAACAGAAACACTGGGTGGCACGCCCGTGATTCTGTGAATCAGACACCACGGCACTATGAAATCACTTGCGCACCAAGTAAAAATTTAAAGGTTAGTATCTTTTAGTTTGAGTAAGCGAGTGTTATTGTAATGTTATTGTGTTCTAAACTCGTAAGTGCGAGTTTTATCATGCAACAGACACAGTTAGACACCAAGATGTTATGAAATCACTTGCGCAATAACTGGAAAACCAAGGGGTATACAAGCTATGAAAGCTATATGTCTGTCTTAAGAGTGTTTTGTACTAGGTGATTTTCTTGTAGGAGACCCTCCGCCAGTTATATTTTTCGGCATTTATTGGTAAAAGATTTGTTTTTTCGTTACAAATAAAACACGCGAAGCAAAATTCCCATTTCCGGCACTTTTAGTACGTCCTGGAAACTGGAAAACACAGTACGTAACCGGTTATTCGGAAAAAGGCTTTTCTTTTTCTTTTTGATATTTATTTAGAAAAAAACTGTTGCGATCCGTTCACTGAGAATCTCTGCTAATGCGGTTACATTTCGAAAACAATATTTTTTTGGTCTCGCGTTCTTCTCGCGGGCGGCCTTTTGCTTTTAATCACCTGGAGAGACATTGGTTTGGTTTTAGTTTGATTATTTCACGTCGCAGTTAGAAAAAAACGTTTCGGCGTGGCCCACACAATGTAAATAAATTTGAGTAAAGTGGCCGAGTGTTCTGAAGTTGCTCTGTTTGAAAAGACATTTGTAATTTTTACAATAAAATCGATGATGTATTTACGGAGGTTTCGGTTATCGTTAGAGCAGACAAAGCATATCGTAAAATTCCGAAAATAAGCCCCTCCAAATATAAGCCCCCCAAACTCGTAACGCAAAAAACCCTCCGTTAAATCGCCCCTCCAAATATAGCCCCTTGTACTTGAAAATTGTCCTCAAATACAAAGTAAAACAAGGCAAAAACGGTAAATTTCCTTCTATTTATAAGGCTAGCCCAATCGATTTTGAAACGCAAATTTCCCTCCGTAGATAAGCCCCTCCGAACATAAGCCCCTCCAAAAATAAGCCCCTCAAAAAGGGCCTTTGAAAAACATAAGCCCCGGGGCTTATTTTCGGAATTTTACGGTATTTTGATTGTTTTAATTGCTCCTGTCGGAATAAAATGTCATATGAGTTAGCGAGATGAACACACGATGACGTGCGAGTAATAAGTTCCAGGGATTTCTTATGGTTCCCGATCTTCGGTCCTGAACTATGTTGTCGACACTTCCTTCGTTTTATGTCGCGCAATCGGTCAATTCAGATGACCGTCGTGCACGTTTCAAAGGCTTGCGGGTCATCATGATATGTGCACAAAACACAAAGTAGCTACATAAGGTCAGAGCATTATTGTAATATCTATATTTATTATATAGACACGAGTGTTTTACGGGAAAATATACCACTCATAAAATTCATAAAAACTACATCCGGGAACCGAGTGGTTTATTTTCCATAATCTCACACGTGAGTTCATCGATGACGTAATTTCGGTAATTTCCCTCTATTATTTTATCGATGTCTTTTTGTCTATATAATAAAAAGAACATTACACGGCGGCTTGAAGATATGAATTTTATTTTCTCGTGGCAAAAACAATATTTTACTCTCTCGCTGCGCTTGTTCGTAAAATATTGTTTTGCCACTCGAAAATAAAATTCATATCTTCGCGCCACCGTGTCATATCCTCTATATATTTTATCTTACTTTTTAAGTCCTGATAAGTTAGTGTGGGTAAATAAAGTTATTGTTGTTGTTATATTTGTTAGTATTAGTTATTATCATTTTAAACGTATTTTAGTATTTAAACGGTAGATATAGGCATATTTTTATCCCCTAATTTTTTGTTATCTGTTCGGATTTCCCAGCTGAAAGTCTAGTGATCCGAAAATTGTAGGGATCAAAACTAACATTTTCGAAAATTTCAGCCACAAAAAAAACTCCCGAAAATTCTAGGTGACCTTTTTAGGGTAAACATCCGTTAAAAATGGGCAATTTTACCATTTTTTAGACGTTCGAAAATCCTAGGAGAGGCAGGCAAGCAAGGAATTTTACAACAAATGTTCGGAAAATTCTAGATCTCAAATCGTCTTCCGAACAGATATTTACCGAAAATTGACATTGGGTGGCCCTGAGCTATTTCGGGCTTATTTTGGCACAGGCAACGCAGGCTCCCTGTTTGTGTCAAGTACGGGCTTCAAGTATGGGGCGAAGTTTAGGTCTGGAAATTTGCTAGAAAATAAAAATTGATGAAACTTACCATGTGGTGAGTTGTTGTTTCCCTTAATATGCACAAGAAGTTTCCAAAAATAGTCTCTACCCCGTGATTTGGGTATTTAGGTTTATCAGCACGACATAGCCGTTTTGGACGTAATTAATGGACTGAAAAGCTTACGTATCTGTCCATTACAGTAACACCTACGCAGACTAGGCTTCGACTAGGCTACTTTATTCCCGAAGCGAGGGAACAAAATTAAAATTGACAAAGTAATAAGAAGCAAAGATATGACCACGTTAGCTTAAGCTACCTTTACTATCAGAACTAACTCGTTACAGTGGAAGGAGACATGCCACACAAAGAGGAAGAACAGTCGGACCAAGGACTCCAGCTTAAATACAGGGAAGTCACGTCAAACTTGTGTAGTTAGAAGGAGGAAGAAAACTTTGCCGGTTAAAGGCTTCAGTACACAATCCGTCAAACAAGGGAAGAAAGACGGACTTCAAAAATACAGTAACGCTATTTTGCGACTGTTTTTAAGTAATAAAATCGCTGTTAGCTAGTAGAAATCTGTCATCAATTTAACTGAGTACAATGGCTACATTTAGCACATGATTGGGACAATGAAAACACACAGTAACCAGTGTCCGTAAAGCGACGTTGACGATATATGAGACTTTATGACTCAGGACACACAAAAGTGTCCGTTGTCCGTATTAACCAGTGTCCGTACAAAGCAGGTTAATTTTAGAGAAAACGTTCCTCATATAGTTTAAGAGCCTTCGGTTCCACTGTATAAGTTAACAGAAGACAAGGTCTAGAAAGGCACGCATGATACTAAAAATCAGACCGGCTGCGCATGTCAAAAAAGAGGAAGCATTTTCAGCCTTTACTCTCACTCTCAGAGCTGGATTCTTAGCAAACGCGACGAGCCACCCTTCTCTCTTTTTTCTTATCTTGTGCCTGACCAATCCCCTCGTTCATTTTCACCTCGTTTCTTTCTCCCTCTCGAAAAATCTAAGAAACATTTTCGCTCAGTGACGGACAATCGTATCTGAACGGAAAAAGACGAATTTATGCTAATTTTGAATTGTCACCTATTTCTTCTATAGGCTTCTAAGCACTGATAAAAAAGTATCTCGATTTCTCTCAGATGAATTCTTCGTTTACGTCCTCCAATTGTAGTTAAAAACTTTTTCTGCAATGAAATACACGAAACTTTTGACCCGAAAAACACCTGCAGAGACGATTCATTGCGAGTGACGACTTCTACGGAGCATAACTCACTAATTTGTCAAAAATTGAAACGCCTGTCATGGAAGAATTTCGTCATGTCACCGTTTTTCTCGGATGCTTTTAAGTAAGTAAGTAAGTAAGTCATTTGGAACACCCCTGTCATGGATACAATAAGTGTTACTTTCCTCGAACAACTTAATTCAACTGTCTAAAACACTTTAATACATCTCGTGTTTTATAAAGTCGGAAAATTCGTCTGCTTCTCGCGACTGATCGTTAGATTTTGAACATTACGCAACGCAATGCCGGATTGCCGAGGCCTTGTATATTTTGTATTATATTTTATATTACCGAGAGAGAAACAACAACTTAATACCCATGCCTGATTTTTAAAATCGGCATTCGCAAATTTACAGAAAACTCTGGCGAATTGTTAAACGAAGCACGAACCTCGCTTCTGTTGCATGTGCTTTATAACAATTCACGCGATGTAAACATGACGCAAGCAAGCGCACGGCGTCCTGATGTCAAAAAAAAGGAGCATCGCACAAGAAAATTACAAATTTTGATGATCTTGTACCTGCCCTTTGGCTCGTTCTAGTGCTTTCGTTACTCAATGAGTTGTCGGTAAACTTTTCATTTTACAACTTACCTAGAACAACCTTAGCCTGTTACGGGTGTTCAGATGGTGTAAAGTAGCGGGAAACGGCGGAAAGAGGAAAGAAAAAGTGACTGATATCACTCCAAGTCTGTCATGGCTATTCAAATGTAAGAAACTTCAGCTATAAACTGAAATTTACTTTATTTGGAACTTTTCCAGGCAATCAATTTGATGCCAGGTTATGTGCTTTTAATAGCTATTTCACATATTTATCACTTCGTAACGACACTAGATCGCGCTCGATCGCGCAGGATGTTCAAACTTCAGTCTGGAAAAAGACTGAAAAGCTCGATCATAAACAAACTATAAACTACAAAAAATAATTGCCCAAATTTTACGGCGAGATGCCGGATACCTGAGAGTGAACAACAATTAACAGTTCAGTCTCCTTTTTGCCATAATTACCAAAAAATTATATGTTGTTTTATGTCATGAAGTGTTTATTAACAAAGACTAATTTGTCTCCCTAAGGCGGGGGGTTGCTTTATTTGCCAAAATTTTAATTTGTTGCTGGTTTTACCAAAGCCATTTTTTCAGGTTTATTCAACTCTTTCATGCCAAGAATTTGGTAATCAATTTTTTGTCAATCTTTGCTTCTGCTTTTCACACTGTTAGACCCTGTTTACATGGAGTGGGGTAAGTTTCTTTTGTTTTGTGTCCCCCAGAGCGTGAAAACAAAAGAAACCACTAGACCGGGGTCCCCAACTCCATGTAAACAGGCCCTAAGGCTCTTGAATGTTAAAATGACAATCCCGGGGTTGTCAGTTTTCAACAACGACAAATGACCTTAAAAGAAAATGGTACTGAAGTGCAAAAATATATATATATATATATTTTACTTGTCCTCGAACCAAACTCGCGCACCCTTACTTGCGCCCGATTACAAGCGCCTGATGCGATATGGAAGCTACCAGTTGTTACAATATATGCTTTGTTGGGAATGTGTCTTTTCAGGGAGCGCTCCATTGACCTTATTCTCAAATAGGAATTGGAATACACAGAATAATCCGAAGTATCGGTCCGACTGACCTATTTTTCCAATCCCGAAATTAAAGTATAATATATTCCAAAACTTCTGCTTCGGAGAGCAGAATGCTTGGATCAATACAAAACGAATAATGACGTCATTTTCTTCACTTTCCGGCCGGTTTTCACGACAACAAAGAAATTGGCGAAGTGCCGGTAACTGAATGAGGTTGGGACGTGTATCTACATCTACATCTACATCTACATTTATTAGTCAGCAGAAACTATGTGCAGTTGTTACGCTAACATTAAATTAGGAAGAAAAAGATTTAAAATTTAGTTAGCAGCATTTCGACACAGGGTTTCGCAGGTATGCCATGAAGAATCTACAGTATATGCAGATGGAGGGGGATGATAACACTCTCAGAGCGACACAAAACAGTACTGAGTACATGAATCAGGTCTCCGGGATTAGACCAAAAAACAGTGCGGGACTCGGGAAATCTTATCGGGATACGGGCTATGAGATTTGACTGATACCCGAGAACAGGGATTCGCCAAGTTTGGTAAACCGGAATCATCAATTTGTTAATGTTTATCTTTACCTTAAAATCCACCATGAATAGTAGCACTGTTCCACCACACTTTACTATCACCGTGATACTGTTCCACTTCACTATCTAATCATGTTGACACTGTTCCGTCATACTTTACTGTCACTGTTACACTGTGTCACTGTTCCACCTCACTTTACTGTCACTGTTACTCTGTGCCACTGTTCCACCACACTTTACTGTCAATGTTCCACTGTGTCACTGTTCCACCACACTTTACTATCACTGTTACTCTATCTGTGCCACTGTTTCACCACACTTTACTGTCACTGTTACACTGTGTCACTGTTCCACCTCACTTTACTGTCACTGTTACACTGTGTCACTGTTCCACCACACTTTACTGTCACTGTTACTCTGTGCCACCACACTTTACTGTCAATGTTCCACTGTGTCACTGTTCCACCACACTTTACTATCACTGTTACTCTGTGCCACTGTTCCACCACACTTTACTGTCACTGTTACTCTGTGCCACCACACTTTACTGTCAATGTTCCACTGTGTCACTGTTCCACCACACTTTACTATCACTGTTACTCTGTGCCACTGTTCCACCACACTTTACTGTCACTGTTACACTGTTCCACCTCACTTTACTGTCACTGTTACACTGTGTCACTGTTCCACCACACTTTACTATCACTGTTACTCTATCTGTGCCACTGTTCCACCACACTTTACTGTCACTGTTACACTATGTCACTGTTCCACCTCACTTTACTGTCACTGTTACACTGTTCCACCACACTTTACTGTCACTGTTACTCTATCTGTGCCACTGTTCCACCACACTTTACTGTCACTGTTACACTGTTCCACCACACTTTACTGTAACTGTTACACTGTTCTACCACACATTACTGTCACTGTCACACTGTGCCGGACTTAGCTGTCATCGTTACACTGTTACACTGTTCCACCACACTTTACTGTCACTGTTACACTGTTCTACCACACATTGCTGTCACTGTTCCACCACACTTAGCGGTCATCGTTACACTGTTTTGTTCTACCACACTTTACTATCACTGTTACACTGTGCCACCACACTTTGTCACTGTTACACTGTGCCACTGTTCCACTACACTTTACTGCCACCGTTACACTGTTCTACCACACTTTACTATCACTGTTACACTGTGCCACCACACTTTATTGTCACTGTTACACTGTGCCACTGTTCCACTACACTTTACTGCCACCGTTACACTGTTCTACCACACTTTACTATCACTGTTACACTGTGCCACCACACTTTACTGTCACTGTTACACTGTTCCACTACACTTTACTGTCACCGTTACTCTGTTTCACTGTTCTACCACACGTTACTATCACTGCTACACTGTGCCATTGTTCTACCACACTTTACTATCACTGTTACACTGTGCCACCACACTTTACTGTCACTGTTACGCTGTGCCACTGTTCCACTACACTTTACTGTCACCGTTACACTGTTTCACTGTTCTACCACACGTTACTATCACTGCTAAACTGTGCCATTGTTCCACCACTCTACTATCACTGTGACAACCCATTTCCAGACTGTAATGAATGATCCAACAGTCCTTTGCCTTGAAAACAATTATAACAGGGGTTTTTAGACTGCTACGCTACCGTTTTTAGTGCGGTCACGCAACGCTCCTCCTCTGAATTTCGAGGTTTGCAGTCTTGCACTTTAGATTCGAAAAATAACTTACAAAGTTGATCTACAAACATTACAATTAAAAGGATACCCGCAGGTTTCATCCATCATGCAAAAAGCAGTCTTCGTCAGGTGTAGTTTTATCACGAATGTTTTTACGTCCAACTTTTAATTTAAAGGAAAACAAATATCTGCCTAACTGGATATAAGCAAATACACCAAGGAACTTAATTAGTTTAGATGTAATAAGGGAAAACTCAGTGACAAGCTTGATTGACACTTCCGTACAAGTTGTAATTTTTTATTAACCTTGGGAGGTACTCCCTTAAATTTACAATGAGGTTGAACCGCTGAGTCTAGGCAAAGAGAAGTCTGCGACTCTGTTCCTGATGATGCCAATAGCTTGCTTGCTAAGAGCCTGAGGAAGGAGCTTTCCATTTGGGGGCATATCGTAACGAGTCACGCGTGACCGCCACGCAACGGAAACGTGCCAGAGAGAGGGGGGGAGGGAAAAATGAAAGACCGCTCCAAGCTCGCGCGTTCCTTCAGGGCTGGCTTCCCTAAACAGCCTGCTCGCAACGTATTGCAGCTTTCACAAGGATAGCGCAATTAACCAAGTACAAAGCGCTTCAATTGTGATGCAGTGTTAAAGCAATGTACAAAGCGGATTTTTTCCCCCTCTTTAGGAACAAAACATGATGATGAGGTCCAGTTCAAGAATCAGAGGGAAATGTACACCCTAATGAAAGGAAAAGGCTCGTATATAGGACTTACCCCGATTTTCTATGATAAGCAAACAATGAACACTTTCATGCTTTCTGGTTTGTTTTATTTTTTTCCCTGGTTAATGAACCTGGGAAAATTTATCGTTAATACCAGAGAATAAAAATGGGCTGGGGATTATTTTGGAAAGTAAACAATATTGTACAGGAAACAAAAAAATCAAGGGAGACTGTCTTTGCAAGGTTCTCAGCCTTGGCCAAATGACAGAGATGATAAATGCAAATGAGCTGTGATTAAATAAAGAACAATGACCATTGATAAACAGACACCACTACTTGAAAAACACTTCGCTTATCGTCATCAAGCTGACAAAATGGATACAGTAAAACTTGGGAGATATCAACCATTTCTGAAAATACCGCAGTACTTTTTATATTTGCAACCAGCACTTTAAACTTGTGTATCCTTGTAACAAAAGTGAAAAAGTCCACAAAAAATAACTTTCTTTTGTAAAGTCTAAACAATCAAATAGTACTATCAGCAAATTTCTGCCAAAAGGTTTCATTTGTGCAGTATTCAACATCAGGATTTTGCTGTCAGATGCACGAGCGAGAGTGACAAGTAATAGGCGTGGGCAGTGAAAAGATAGAGGATATTACATGACCGCGCGGAGATACCAAATTTCTCTTCGAGTGTAAATATTTCACGAGTAAGCGCTGGGAAAGGCGCGATTTATTACGTAGCCATAGCAACAGTGATCTTTTCACATGTGAAAATAACATGATTTTTTCACGTGTGAAGATATCAGGTTTTCGTGCCTTTGGGAAAGGCATCATGACTATAAAGAAAACAATCACCGAGAAGTTACCGTCTCCATGTTAACTCTTTAGTCCCAAGAGTGACCAAAGTAAGTTTTCTCCCAACAGTGTCAACACATTTATCAAAAGAAAACGCTGTGAGAATTAACGACATGATCACCTGATGGGCAGAACTTTGATCTACAAACACGTTCTCTTAACCAATTCTTTATGGAAATGTATGCAGAGATCAACCTGGAGAATTTGTATTTGGATATTGACGAATTAAGTGTTAAAACAATCTTATCCTATAAACACTGATATACATGGCAGCCAATCGGAGGAGTTTGACGGTTAATATTACAGCATTCAATACAAATCATTTTTCTGTATTTCCTTTTTTTTTTCATAATGGCCTTTCAAGATTAGAGATTTATAGACAAAGAAAATTACCTGTTACTTGAAAAAAACGTATCCTGTACTGCTTACTTTTAAAACCCGCAACTCTGTCAAATTACTAAACTCCATCCCTGACTTAGCATAATAATCATTTCACCGCAGTGGACAAATAAGACACATGTTAGACGAAAAATACTAACTTATGACACACCCTTCTTTGTGTGCGATTATTCATTGACCCTTGTTCATTATTTTTAAATGGCCTGGTCTTTTCCTCGGCTAACACAGAGGTACAGTACACGCAACTGTTGAACAATTCATGGAAAAATTGTCTTTCTCAAAATCCATGTAAATTTGTTTATCCTGGTTCCTTGAATATATATGCAGCATCAAGTCTTTCTAAACGCAGTATGCTTTGCAGCTTGCAACTTGTTACCCAAGAGTTGGGAATTCTTCATTATTTAAGGCAAAATTATCCCCACTTTTGTCGCTGTCTGCACGACCACCAAATCCACCGCGACCTCTTCCACGGCCACCTCGGCCTCCTCTGTCGCCCCTACCACCACGACCACCACGGCCGCCCCTTCGTGTATCAGTTGAGCCCCTGAACTCCATTGGGATTTCAACAATTTGTTTTACACGGCCAGATGTCTTGATTTTTTCCTCGATGACCTTAAAAGGAGCAAAATGTAAATCAAGTTCAGGGCTGTGCTCTAAGACAAATTGAACAGTTGTAGCCTCCAACAGGACACAGGGTGGCCCTGTGCTCTGAACCTGTGAAATCCAGGGTACCCAGCATAAGATTTGTACAAAAAAACCTCAGATTTCCTAGTCACCCATGGGTCTTCATTCTTTTAAGCAGGTGCGGTTTCCACCCTTTTCACTGCACACAAAATATTGTTCATTTTGCAAAAAATCTGTCAACAGGAAGCCATCTGTTGTGCAAACGACTTCTTTCACCTAACAAAATTTTCTCATCTGTCACCAAACTTCAAAGATGCTGTTGAGAAAATTTGGTCTACAATTTTTTTGTCATTCAAGATATATGAAAAAATTTTTAGTGTCTCAGATGCAAGGAAGGCTGCAAAGACAAAAAATTGGTCATAACAAAATAAAGATTCAAATTTTTCGCACCAAACTCTATTTTTTTTGTCATAGTGTGGACATGGCCTGATTCAAACTCAACATTACTTGTTACTCACTCTTCTGGCGGCAAACTGTTCCTCATCTTCTTCATCTCTCTTGAAGACTTTCGTGTCTTTCCACATGCCTTTCTTTTCCCCCTCACCAGCTTTGCGTATCTCAAAAGTGCTTTTAGCTCGCTCATTTTCTTGGAGCTTTTTCCACTCATCTAGAGTCATTTCTTTGGGTTGTTCATCCTCTTTAACTTCTTCATTCTCTTTATCTTCACCATGGGACCTGGAACAATTCAAATCAAAGAACGAACGATTACATGAAGCTGGTACGACCTTAGCTTCGGATAACCTTGATCCATAGAAATGCAAGTTTACACAAAACCAGTCTGAGCCACTTACAAGCTCTCAAGAGCTCATTTGAAATTACAGTCCACTCTGTCTTTTAGGGTCACTCTTGTTACTCACTCTTCTAGAGGCAAGTGGATAGTATCCATCTAAGAGTAGCCTCCCACGCAGACGTTTTTAGGGGAACTCGTATTTCGTCCTTCCCCACAAACGCCTGCTCAACTGAGAACAAACTACCTTTCCCATTGTTTTATTTGCATGGTAAGTGACCAATCAACTGTTTTGAAATAAAGTGTTGACAGGCTAAACACAACTCATAAACTCGTGGTTATGTAAATTCGCGACCCTAGAGTTACCATTTTCTTCCTTTTCTTTCTTTACGAAAGTTATTCAGTGCACAGAGTATTCTAAAATCTGACTAAATCTTACTTTTGCCGCTTTGAGAGGAATATTTACTACAGGTTGTAAAAAATTCCCAGTGTTTCATGCAGATCGAGTAATTGGCGGGTTACCTTGCTGTCAAGGTCAACCTTCCAGAATTTGGAAGGTATAATGTGATTGGCTGAGCTAGGGAAAGGAACGTTGTTCTCTGTTGAGCAGGTGTTGGTGGGGAGGGACCAAATATGAGCTCCCCTAAAATGCCTATGTGAGAGGCTAATCTAAGAGTGATTTGTGTCTTATAGACAGTCAAACAAAGAAAGTATAGAAAGACAGGCACCGACTTTAGGTGTCTGCTCTACCAAGGTGTCTGCATTATAGAGAAGTGTCCATTAAGAGAGAATCAACCGTATTTGTGCTTTCCAGATTGAATTGATATTTTAAAGAAGCAAGAGTTTCAGGTGTGCAACCCTTCTTCTGTGTACAGAATACTGTTACACTATGCACTTGTCATCAAACGTTAAATTGAAGCACGAAAACAAAGCATAGTGAGATTTCACACCAGTCTCTAGTAAACAAAACCAAGCACTTGAGAGCTGTGAGGGTATCCAGGCCAAAGTACATCAGTCATATTTGAATAAACATTATCAGCAGCATTAAAACTTACTCATCTTGAGATTCCTTGACAGCATCAGGATCAGGAGATGCTTCAGCCCAGTCAGCCACCTCTGGCTGGGGAAAAACCTCTGCCTCCTCACTGAAATCACAAAACAACAACCATTTATTGGATGGCATTGTGAATAGGAGATCATCTGGGAATCCAAATTACTATGAACAAGGTTTAATTTGAACTGAAGACTGATGATTAGGTTTTAACCAACAATCCTAGGAGGTCTTGGTACCTATACTTCCAAGGAATTTTATTTTCTGTGGATTAATTTGATTCAGGTGATAATACAGAGAAGAATCGTACATGTTGTTAACATCACCTTTAAGAACTTCTACATTTCAGGACAATTTTGTTGCACAGCTCTCATCCAATCAGAAACGAACAATGTTAGTAATAACCATATTATTAAGTAACGGTCCAGATAAGAAGGAAAGCAACAACGGCTTTGAATATTTTGGAGTGCAAAATGGTGCTAACTTTACTACTGTCTGTCTTATACTTCAGACTGGCTTAAACAGCAAAAGTTAACAAAACTTCATACAGCAGTATACAGCTATTTTGAGAAAGGTTGTCGGATGAACTGCATGCGACAACCCCGAAAGGTATTGAGGGTGGTTTTGAGTTCACTGTTTTTCAAAGAAATTTGAAAGAATGGCACGAGAGGCCATGGACATTTGTCTGTGCATGCTAAAGGCAAGCAACAAAAGTAGGTTCGACAGCTACAGTGTCAGGAACAGTGTATTGCACATATCCCATATTACCTTTAGGGACTGTCGCGTGCACAATTTTCCGACAACCTTTCTCGAAATAGCTGTATATATATATTGATCCTTTTCCAACCAACTTCCATATAACAAAATCTCGTCTCAGTCTGAATAACACAGAAATCCTACGTTGGGAACATGTAAAATATTATTGTAAACTTTCTTGGCTTGCAAAATCCTACAATTGGTCAAAATTTTTGAACACACAAAAAAACACCCTTTCAAAATGGGGTCTTAAACTTTTTATTGCGTAAACGGCATTTCTTTAAGTTTACGCATTCTCTGTGTGAAAATGAGAACATTTGTATATGTGGGGAAAGCACATCGACGCATAACAAAAGAAAATGCTTTCCACTTTAACCAGGTCATTACTTAATGAAAGAAATAAAAGAAGAATATAAAAGTAGACTATAACTTACCCCTCTGTAGGATTACCCCAGTTGTACTGGCCACCTCCTTCACGCTTATCTTGGGCCTTCACAGAACTGTCAGAAAACATGGGAAACTATGAAGTTGATTACTTGAAACATAAGAGGATGTAACTCAGTAGAAGATATCATAAATATGGCTACTGAAAAATACATAGCTTTGGCTTGCACCTTATGCCTAACAAACTAAAAGGCTTCACCATCTACTAAAGTAGGCAACTAGTAAGACAACCACACCAACAAACATCACAGGGATTAATTTTCCTTCGGATTGTAATTCAAAAATCTTCATATTTCAGTCTTGAATGGATGGGACATAAATGGGACATCCAGCTTTTATCAACTAAATAGCAAACGTGGAAAATATTCTTGTAAATATGTATTTCAATTTAAGTACTATGTGGAGTGCAGTTTGTTAGCCATGAATTAGCATTAATTAAAAAGGAAGTTCTGAGGGTACAATTAACATGTATGTTACTATTATTAGCACGAGAGAAACAAAAACTTGGCACCATTTTTCACGAGCATCAGATGTCCTAAGAATAAAGATTTATCTGTAAGAAGGGTGATCCATTGCATAAAAATAAGTTTGCTTGTTTACTTTTATGTCCTAAAACATTTGGTTAAAAATGTTGGTTCCAACTAAAAAATAAACTGTAACTCATGGCAAACTGGTTGACAAAATTGATGAGTGGGAAAGTGTAGCAAAAGTAGCAAAAGCTTGCAATAAAAATTTTACATGCATTTAACAAAGATTTAAAGATGGCTGATTTACACTTCACAGCAAAACACAGCTTGCAGAAAAAATACACACACAAAGCTCATGATTTAATTTCTAGGAATGACTTTATAGTTAAATAGGAGCAAAGTTAGAATGTTTGTCCAACCTTCTATCCCCGCGACTTGAATTATTGTCCAGTCGGGGGTCCCTAGACCACAAGAAGAGGACATATTTCTTTTACAAAACAAAAATGTGTCAAATGGAGGAAAGGGATAGTTAAACAATGGCTTCAATCTTGACAGTTAAAATAACAAAAAAACGTAAAGAACTCTTGCAGTCTCTTGCATAAGTACATTGAAGAATATGTAAGTGGAAAGTTTAACCTTGCCAAGTTCAAGAGAGAAGTGTCAGAAAGGAGCAAAGATGTAGCTCTGCTAGAAAAAGTTGCGAGATTTTGCAGACCTTTGTATGCTTGCTGGGGGACATAAAATTAAACCCCTGCCCCCTTTACCCCAAGTATACAAAAGTCTCAGCAAACATTCCTCGACTTAAGCACCATGTCTCTGCCAGTTTTCGACACAATTCACTCTCACACTTGGCAATTCTTCTGACGGACCGCACTATTTCTAGCCATATAAATGGGATTTTAGCTAGCTAGTTCATGTCAAAAGTTGAAAAAAATAAAAAAATAAAAAAATAAACTGTGGAATGGTCTGTTGAAGGGGTGCAAGGGAGAAGTGACTCCTGATCTAACGTTTCACTTTCCATTTGTTCACAAGAAACTTAGAAGTAGAATCAAGTTATTTATTCACCAGAGAAGTTTATATTCAAGATGATCATAGAACACAAGGAGAAAAACAGAAAAAATAAGAATACACAAAATCTTAGAGAGAAATGTTTCTACAGACTGCCATTCATATCCCTTCACCTTAAAAAAATTGACTGAGAGAATTTGAAATTCTGCTTAAATATTCCAGGTCTAACCTGGATGCAAAATAAATCCCTGCAGGAATTCTCACCAGGCATAACCACTCGAATGTTTTATTAATCAAACTTAATCGATGATTGGGCACAAAAAAGTTTTAGTAATCAAACCCAATAAAACTTTGATTGAGTTCAATTAGGTTCAATGGTTGAAGTTAGCATACATTCGATTAAAAATTGGACGTTATACAGGAAAATTGCATGTGTTTTGATGAATGTTTCCTTTTTCTAACGACTGAGTATATTCCGAAGTGGTTGTAGCAGATCAGTGTAGTGTATTTTTTGGAGCGGGAAGAACACGGCTATATTGCCATACAACTTTATCCTTTAATCAACCCACTCAGTCACAGAGTGAATGTTATGCTTTGTTGAAGCATTTTAAACTTTGCAGCACCTCTTGTAGGTAACGTCACTGTCAATTATAATGCACCAGCACGTTCAGAACTCCTCCACATTTGTACAGTCAATCTATTGTTCATTTCATGATTCTTTTTTGGTTCTTTGCTGATTTCCCAGTGACTTACTTGCTGCTTTCCCGATTCTTACACACTAAAAGGATTTTTCAAAACCCTCATCTATTTTGAGTGTTGGTTTAGAACTGTTGCTCGATTGAGTTTGGAAAACTAACTCAGTCAAACTCTCATGCATATTTTTTGGTTCAATTGTGTTTGTTTACCAATAAAGTTTGATTACCAAACAATTCGAGCGGTTACACTGGATTCTTTGGAATTGTGGTAAAAATTTAGTATAAAATACGCCAACACTTGGCACATCTAGGCTCTTGGATTAGCATAACTTACATTTTAAATTAATCAGAGCACAGTGATTCATAAACAGTCTCTACAAAACACTCTCAGCCCATTTACACAAAACCAGTTAATAACACTGTTAATTCCGGCAAGATGGCTTTAAATTCCAAGTAACACTCAACACCTTAGGTAACATGCTCATTCGAATTTTAAAATCTATCAACATCTTGTCAACAAATAACCACAAATGCAGACATGTCTAAATGCAAACCATAAAAACAATGGCAAAATTAAATTTGACCGGTAAAACAGTTGCAGACTGCTTGTTTTATGTTCTCATGCACTGTTATGAGCAAAAATATTATTTACTACTGTTATTTGACAGTTTAAAAAACCAAAGCTCAAATAGTTTCTCTCTCTAGCTGCTAATCCTTCTGCATATCGCATCTTTGATTGCACATCAGAAACATTCTCTATCCATAGTGTTTAAAAATAACAGAATATTAAATATGAAGAGTGTTAAATTCAGAAGTGACTTAAAAAGCGCATGTGAATAACCTGTGAGAAGGGTTTAACAAGAATACACATTAAAATTACGACAGACAGGATACTGTCAAAGTAAATGGTGAAATAGACACAATGAGCACTTACGATCGATCACTTCCACTTCTTCTCTCAAATTCTCGCTTCCTTCCACCACGGTCGCCAAATCCTCCTCCTCCACCTCTCGGACCGCCAAATCCACCGCGTCCTCGTCCTCCACCACCTCGCATTCCTCGACCACCTCTTCCTCTTTCAAATCCACCTCTTTCCCTTTCAGCTCCTTCCTTGTCTGGGGAATCGGGGTCTCCCTGCGATCCCTCTCTCCTACGGAAACCACCTCCAAAACCACCACCTCGCCTTTCTCTCGGCGCATTTTCACCACGATCTCGTCTTTCGCTGGGACCATTGGTCATACGAGTATTTTTCTCGTTTTCTCTCTTGACATCATTTTTTCCACGGCCACCTCGTCTGCTTTCGCTTCGTTCTGCAAGGTAACGATAGCTATTGAGCATTTATCGCTGTTTACTTGCGCGGAAAAGCCAGCTGAATGAGAGCAAACCGAATTAGCCTTAATTTATTTATAATGTACACGATCCATCGCCGCTCCACACAACCATAAACACGTGTTGCAACTGTTTATATGTCCACGAAGACAGCGAAATATATTTCCTTTCGAGCTTCCATGTTAAGGTGTACTCGAAAACATCAACAAAAACTCCACCTGGGCGTTTTAATTTACATTCACCTGGTCATAGTAAATTTCGCAATTTTAATGCGAGCGTTGTGTGCAAACTGTTAGATATACAGGACACAGGATATACAGGACATCAAAACTAACAGACAACTTAACGCACACAGAATCCACGGGACTATAACATGACCTACAGAAGAAAGCATATCAAACCTTGGAAACTCGAAAAAATTAGAAAAGGGGGCAGAGAAGTCGAAAACACCCCAACGAAAACTTTCACATGTGGATGTGACAAGGAGATGGCGTCACAGTACAACTTGTACATTCGATGTTACGAGAACAAATAATTTTCGACAAACCTTCCCTCTTGGACTCCTCGTTGACAATGTCTGTCTTGTTTGTGGCCGACTTCGTATCTTTAGCGGGTTGCTTTACAGCCTTCTTATCCTGTTTCTTCGCCTTGTCTTTCTTCGCAGACTCCTCTTTCTTCTCCTGCTTTTGCAGGAATTCCTCTGGATCTTCTTCGTCCAAATTTAACGCACCAAAGCGATTATTCACTCCTATGCTATATTCCACGACGTCCATTTTGAATGGATGGAATGGAAAAAGCACAGATGATGGAAGATTGTGCTGCAAACTCTTCCCTGCCAGAAACTCAGCAGATTTCACTCCTCGAAGGTCAGGCTCCACGCGCGATGCATGCTTGGAGGGAACTTGGCGGGTGAAGCCCGCATTGCTTCTTGGGATGTTTCCATTTTGTTTTCGTAATTTTCGTTGGGTTTTGATTGGTTTGGTTTTTCCGGCTTCTACAAGAAGTGACAGCTGTCTTTTATAAGTCTCATCCTTTTATTTTCAAGCTACTTTCTTTTTTTTTTCAGTTCCTCCTTTATTCAAATTTACCGCATTGTCAAGATTCTACTTGTTTGTGCAATTACTTCTCTCCTGAATATTTGGTCTTCATTAGGACTCATTAAGGAGCTGCCCTTGGGTTTTTGATTATCACTCTAACCGTATATCTTTAATTTTCGCGATAGCAAATGACGCAGTAAGGTGAGAGGATGATACGGTTCGCTGACATTTGTAATGTAACCCCTTCCTCTATCTTTCAAGCCATGTAATTTTTTAGTTCATACCTAGACTACGGGCATCCACCTGCAAAACTACTCAACGAATAACCCATGCGCGTGAGCCGCGATAAACGAGGGCGTAAGCCTGAGGCTTCGTCCTTATTCCTTATTGTGACGTCGCGCTGGCTGGTATAAGAACTAGACAGATTTTGAGAGAAAAAGCGGACTACAAGCAGAAGAGTGAAGAAAATTATTGAAAAATTTGGGGACTTCTGCATGATCCCGACTTTAACCAACGAGTCGGTAGCTAGCACGAAGCACTTATCTCGTCTCTCCGAACTAACAAATTAATTTTGGGAAGATATAAACCAGAAAAACACCCTAAAATCGCCTTTCAGAGCTCCTAGATTATCCATGTTTTCAGGTCAGAGCTTGCCCCAGGCCCCCTGAAAGGTTCATAGTAGTTCGGAGTTGGCACATTTATTACTTCTTAACAAGCAAATTGCAACAATGCCAAAGCTTTTGCCATTTGAGCATCCTTTCAATTTCATTTGTTACTTTTTAAAGTAAAAGAGGACGTTTTGATCCATCGAAAGCGCAATAAAAACAACCAATGCACGAACGTTAAATGGAATTCCTGAAATGACGTCATAAGGAGCCAGTCGTCGCGCGGGTGGTCAGCAGGGCTGTGCTTTTGAAATGCTGGGTTACCACTTGGCCACCTTTTCTCTTGGATGACCTTGGTTTTTACATAAAAGTAATAAGCTGGGTACCCTGGATTTCAAAGGTTTAGAGTACTGGGTAACCTGTGAACAACCACCCCATCTACTCAAATAAAAAGTCTTTCTTCCCGACTTAGTTTGAGGGTAAGGGGGCGGCTTTACACAGGCCAAGCATTGGGCTTCCGACAACTTTTCTTTGCCTTGAGACATTCTTGCAGGAATTGGATCTACAGTTTCTTCACCTTACTAAACGAGAAAGTTATTGCGGGCCCGAAAGAAAAGAAACCTCAACCTTGTTGAGTGGCGGGGGCGCTTAGCGGAGGGCGGCACTGATTAATATTCCAGCAGTGCTCTATTCGAAGACTGCGGTTGGTCCAAGAATAAGGAAGGCCTTTGGGAGAAGATACAGTAACTATTTCAGGACACAAAGTGACTCAATTTAGGTTACTCTTTACTGGTTTTTGAAACGCCTGAGTCGTTTGAGACATACAGCCAAGAAACGTTTAAAAAAATATACTCTTTAGTAGGTTCTGCTATAAGAGGCAAAGAGTAATATATTCATGACCTCGCGGATAACTAGTAAATAGCTTGAGATGAAGTATGCAAAAAAGAACTCTAAAATTATTTCTACCCAACCATTCAATACAATAAAACGTTTCGCTCTTTGAAGAAGAGTTTTGTGAGGTATGCAGAAAAGAGCAATAGCCTTAGTTCTTTCTTCACGTGGTTAAAACTGGAATCCCAATCTCGGCAGAGATTTGCATAGCCTCCACTTCAAGCTAAAGACAGCTTATTCGCGAGATCACAGACTCGGATCTACAGAAAGGAATTTATCTCTTCTACTACGATATAATCTTTTCCAAGCACATCATCTCATCAACTCTATTATTCAGCTCTCTTTTGAGTTTTATATATAAATCTGATAATTCCATTCAAAAATAGACCAAACTTCTGACCATGTCTGTATAAAAAAATATATTTAAGGCGACGGCTCCTTTCGCGGAGATTTTCTGTTTCTTTTCAAAGCAAATTTAAGAAGACTGATATCACTGGTTATATGTTAAGAGTTTCGAATGTGGCTACAGACATTTCGCGGCCGTCTTGTTCTTGCATCGCTTAGCTTTGTGATTGGCTCAAAATCTCGCGCCACTTTTTGACAAATCAGGGATCAATTTAATGGTAACTTACAAGTGTAGCCATTGTTTTAGAGTCTGAAAACAATAGCTATCCTTGTAAATTACACTTGTAAAAGTTTTATTAACCTGACCCCAGACTTGCTAACACGGGTTTGTCAACGGCTAATTTAAATTCGTTCATTTTTTTTGTTATTTGCCAGAGCAATAACTTTGTTTTTTCCACACGTAAATGAAAAATTGCTCTTTTTGTTAAGTTTCGAAAGTCGAAAGAAAAACAACGGAATTTAATCCTTCAGCCAGTCAGAGTAAAGTCAGACATTCTGATGGTCAAAACGAACTTGAAGTGCACGAAACAGACCAAAACGCGGGAAACATGCGCGCGAACAAGTCCCGATCTGTTTACGGTCTTACTCCTCATAGGTTAAAAAAGTGGCGTGAGACCATTTAGCCAATCCATGAGTGACAGTGTTTCTTTCACTAAAAAGAAGACGGCTAATGTCTGTTAAGAGTAAATAAATATGTAAATATGTCTGATGCTGTCTCACAGTTAATTGCTTAGCCATATGAAATAAGCGAGGTAGCTAGGAATACGAAGAAGAATCAAACAAGCAAAAAAGACTCAAGTAAGCCATTACTTTAACACAATGAGCTCTCAGCTTTGTCCAAACTCGACTTTCGAAAACAACAACACTCGACCTTTACCTTCCGATTAGACCCTCTGACTTTTTGTACAATTTTAACTTTAATAATTTTTCTATCTTCGCGCTATTTTTTGGCAAGACGCGACGAGTTATCAAGTTCTAGTTAAGTTACTAGTTTTTTAAGTTATATCAAGTTTACTGACAAAGCTCCTTCCAATGCCACTTACACAGAAACAACAACATCGACGAAGTAACGATCACACGAACTGTGGCTCTCGTTCTTCATCGTTGCTAACATCGGGAAAAGGAGAACGGCCGACATTCGTCCGACTGCTTCTCGGGCTCGAGTTCGGGCTTTTTCGTGGTCTGTGCCTATCATTCATTTCTTCATGATCAAGAGGAATATCTATTTCTCTCGGAGACAAAGTATCCTTTTCGCCATCATGTAAATCGAGTTTCAGAGCGTCTCTTTTCTCAAGATTGTCTGGAACCAAGCTTCGTGGATGATCAGATTTACCTGACTGATCTCTTCTTTCACGGCGCCGAGGCTCAGCTTGTTTTTCCTGTTCAACTGGTTTTGTTTTCTCCGCACTGTTTCCATCCATGTTGTCATTCAACCGTCTCCTTGGTAACTTGGGGCTACCGCTGAGCGGACTTTTCGCACCGAAAGTGCTGCTTTTATCGTCACTGTTATTCAACAATTTCCTCGACAACTTAGGGCTGCCATTGGAAGAACCAGAGCCACTACCAGAATCACTTCTCGGTTTTCTCACTCCCATGTCGCCAACACGTTTATAAAGCCCTCGTTCCTTCTGCTCGAACATTTCCTTCCGAGAAGACACTGGATTCGGGTTAAAAAGTTCGGACGCCGACTGTTTCCGACCAGAGTCGACTTTTCCGGGAAGGTTATTCTGGTATTGCTGGAGGCGATCTCTAACAGAGATCCGTGTAGTATAAGCTGACCTAGTCATGGGTTTGGCTTCAGATCTTTTCTCGTCACTTCCGCCCACCTTTTCTGCACTCGGGGATTCAGCTCTATCCGGGACTTTAGTATCTGTCGAAGATTGTGACGTGGAGCAATCCGGGGTGGACGCTCTCCGCTCCTGTAGTGCAGTCATAACAGGTACGATAAGCTCACGTGATCCCACCTTCGGCGCGTCTTCGGGCGATGGACTTTCCGATGGTGCGCAGTCTCTCTTTTCTACCGTAGGAGATCGTGCAGGTTTTACCGAAACTGGTGGAGGTTGTTGCTTTCTGGGAGACAGCGTATTTATCGTTGATTCTATTAACGGAGATTGTATAGGAGCATGTGTCTCTTCACAAAGAGTATCTTTGTGGTCAACCCCATCTTCTGCGGGTGGAGGTACTTCAGAAATGTCAATACGTGTTATAGCAGCATCGTCCTCGACCGTTTCCCTTTCCTCGTCGCTTATACTGCCTTTTTCGAACGAAACGAGATCGTCAGTTAATAAACTATCGTCAGGGCTAACAGAAGAGTCCACGTCTTTTGAAGCCAGCACGAAGGGTGCTTCCTCCTCGATAGAGTACGGATCTTTATTAAGATTCGTATCGCTTAAAGAAGACTTCATACCTATCGGGAAGAAACCTGTATCCAAAACATCGACGCGTTGAACACGACCAGGTAGATCTGAATTTCTTTTCAATAATCCCAACGTTCTAGGACGAGGTCGCGCGGCGTCAGCATCGCTCGAAAATGTACGAACTCGAGAATCTGGAGACTCGGACTGAATATCAGCAAGTCTCGGGTCTTTGTCGGGCTTTCCGATGCTTTCCGAATTATCCACTTTGCCCAGTTTAACCGTATCGGACAGATCTGGTAACAACGAATCAGAATCAGGGAAGTCCGAAATGACGCTCGGCGCGACAGAATGTGACGACGATCTCCGAGACATCAAGTCCGCCAAATCACTAGGTACGTTAGCTTTGTCGTCGACGGCTAAATTTTCGTTTGAAGAGCGCGGCGAACTTATTCGCCGAGATGGATCAAGGTCATCATCTGGAGTGCGTGAACCACTCGTTCCTATAAAGAGAAAAAAAAATTAAAAAATAATAATCTATTCTCAAATAGACTTTATTACAACGCCCGCCATCTTTGCTCGTATGTAAGAATACAAGCGATAAAAACATTTTTAATTCGTCTCTCAGAGGGAAAAAAAATGATGACAGTTGCAAAAACAAAACAATTGCGGTCCGGTTTATATTTTTCTTCCATATGGGGAGACTATTTTGAGTCAAGAAAATTACATAAGCCAGATTCGAGTTTCAAGTTCAACACTGCAGGAGAATGGGTACAAGTCATTCAGAGCAATGATCCCAGAAATCTTTGCGCCGTCCCTTGGACCCATTCTCCCTGAAATTTATGGGGTGAGGAATTTGAGAAAAGAACTCCTCAAATCCCCCTACCTCCCCTCCCATAGCGCTGCCTCTTACCTTGAGTAGTATCATCCTCGTATTCGTCTTCTATATCGGAGTCTTCTTGTCGTACCACGGGTATCGATGATTCATGGGGCAATAGGAATTCGGGAATAGTATATCGAGCGCGTTCATTCTGCGGAGAAAAGATACAGAGATCGGTACTCATCTCAGTATTTTGCCACCAGCCAATCTCTCTTGACTCGTAAGCAAATACAGCTCAGCCGCAAGAGAACGAAACAATGCGTGATGTTTCTTTTTGCTCCCGCGACACGCCAGGGACTCCAAAAATATCATTCAAATGTAAAACAAGAGTATTCGAGCCTCCGGAATATTGTCAGAAGTTTCGGGGAAAAGCATCTTCCTTCCCAGCCCACCCTTCGAACGTAAAAACGGGAAGAAGGCCTGGAACAGAGGTGGGTTTGAGAGACATGTCTTTCGTTACCAGGACACAAGACCATTCTGCCACATATAACAAGTTACTGTCAGGAGCATATATGCATTAACTCACCACATCATTTCTGTTGTTGGACTTGGCCAGCAGATCAAAGAACTCGGATCCGAAACCAAGGCCACTTCCGCTGCACAAAAGATGCAAAAATAACCAAATAAACGAGACTGACATCGGAAAAAAGAAGGAAAACGCAATAGTAGAGACAAAAAAGATACTTACTGGGTCAGTTCAATAAAACTTTTACAAGTGTTCAAAGTAGACAGACTGCTAATTATCTTAGTTGCTAAAAGATATCTACGTGTCGCAACTGTTCATCAGTAGGATGCCTAAAATGCGTGCAATTCCACAATTGGTTTCGGCTCCATTAAATCCTATACCAATTGCAGAACATTTTAGGAGGAGCCACCCACCATGTGAGCACAGTCACGGACAATGTATAAGTGAGGAAAATAACGCAAAGTAAAATTAAGACGTTAATACACGAACTAAATGTACACGTCAATTAAATAAATAAACAAATAATGCGCGCGCTCAAAATAAAATTGTACGCGCACACGTACCGAGAGACATCTGAAATACAACACTATGCAGTAAATAAGTAATGTAAGGATACGATGGTGCAATTCAAGCCTGGATTGCTAACGAATAGGTATAAATATTGAGATAGTGAAATAATAGCCACACTGTTAAATTTTACTGGCAAAGTTTTAATAAACTGACCCAGATTTCCGATAAAACTGTCTACAACTGAAAAGAACAAGTAAAAGAATAGCGCGAACAGAGGAGAAATATAGGTTCAGGTTGTTTATTGATTGGAAGATCCATGCAAATCTACTGTCTCCGGCTATTGAAACGTTGGATAGGGCTATCCACCAGATAAGTATTGAGGAAACCAATTGCATTATCTACTGGACAGGGATTTTTCCAGTGGGCAGCACTATCCACCTTCTCAAAAACTGGGGCCTGGTCATTTCTAAGTTTGGCGGGAGATTACGCCGGTGCAGTTGTGTCGAAATGCAGTATGGGGCTGTTTTGGGGGCAAGTTTAAACCCAGGTTCCCTCGCAATCTTGAAACAGCCAATAAGAGAAGAGATAGCGTCTCTAAAACAGTCCCATAGCGCAATTTGGCACAACACCGACCCAGTTTCACACGCGACCTCAAAATGACAATAACCGGAAGTGAATCTGCAGAAAATAGATGACAGACCTGAGAAGAAGCTTGTGGCCGGATAGCGAGCTGCAAGGAAGACAAGACAAATATTTAACTTTGGAAACTTACGTTGACGGTGAAGGTGACTTCGGCGGCTCTAAAGATGAATCAGGGACATTTACCGATCTACAAGAAAAGAACGAGCACGTAATCAGTACAATTATACCTCATTACTTGCAAAAAGATTGCGTTACGACAAAAGACCACGTAAAAAGAAAAGAATGCGTGACGTACACGAGAGACGCATGCGTTGTACTTACACTGGCCGTCTGTGGTGGTGACGTAGATGAACAGGTGGAGAGATTTCCGTGGGAGACTGGGAAGTGGTTGTGTCTGGAGTGTTGATGTAGCTACACGAATGTAAATAACGCATGCCTCATTAACACATGACAGTTACAAGTATCAAGTCAAATTCATTTTCAGTGTATTTCCTCCATCCGCCCAACTTCGCTTTAGGATATGAAATAGAGTTTAAGCACCCGTAAGGAGGTCACTTTCGCGGTTCCAATAGGCCATTTCCGAGTTCCAAAAACTCTCACTCTCAAAACAAGGCTAAGTGCGAAACTTTTGTTGTGAAAATGGGTTTTATTTGCATCATAATTAAAAATCATTTTCATATCAATGGCTTCGCACTTAGCCTCGCTTTGAAGGTGAGATTTTTTGGAACTCGGAAATGGCCTATTATTTTGAATGGGGAAAGTCAAAAGGTTTTTTTTTTTTGGCTTTCAGGTGTTCAATTTCTCCTTTTTTCAAATTATTTTGGACGGAGATGGGGCTACGAGCAGGAATCGCAAATGGAAAACTAGTTCCCAGGTCTCTTTTTTCCTCCCTGGGAACGAGGGCGCGCACATGGAGGCTCGACTGTATGCCGATCCTGTAAACACATCGATTCAAAATGGCGACAAGAAAAAAAAAGTGGAGAGAGCTGCCAAAATAGTTGACACCATATATGTAGTTAACCCTTTAAACCCTAAGATCAAAATTTGAATTCTCATGTGTTCCCCTATTCATTTCCTACAGAAGCAGTGGGGAGAAATTGATAAAGTATCAAGCAACTTCATCTTATGTGATCATGTCCGTAATTCTCATGACCACTCTGTTTTACAAAGCATTGATATTACAAGGAGAAATTTGATGCTGATCACTCTTAGGGCTTAAAGGGTTAAGTGATACAAGATTGATAAGTAAAAAGAAACGGACCACGTAACAGCCATGTACATAAAATCATCCTGACCCCGGTTGTTTATCCACCGGATAAATCTCTATCCACTGGATAGCGCAATTGGTTTTTCTCATACTTATCCAATGAACAGTGATTTATCCGGTGAGTAGCGCTGCCCAGCTTTGTGTCTCATTATATTCATATATACTTGTAATTTGATATGGAAGTTCGGATTTGAAGCATTTTTAGGCTGAATGACAAGGTTAAACCTTACCTTGCCTCATCTTCTGCCTCGTAACTTTCATCTGGGTTAACACCTGGTAAAATGATCAAGGAAAAGTAAATTTTCTAAATGGTTGCAACGACAAATGATTTCCATAGTTCCTATGCGCACTGCTCTGTTTCAGCTGAATAACGGCGCGCGCGCAAGTTTGCATACGTGACGACGTGTTTATTTCCATTTTTTTCGTGTGCGCCCTTTCATTATTAGTAGATGTTCACTCAAAGGGCTTAGCAATGGTTAGAACTGGCCGGCTAGACCAGTCCACTTTTCCAGAGAATTCCTTTATTAAACCGATCCTGTTTCTAATTCAATGTCCCGTACATAACTGTGCTCACATTGTGGGTGGCTACTCCTAAAATGTTCTACAATTAACTGAGCCGGAACCAATTGTGGAATTGCACCCATTTTAGGAAACCTACTATTGAACAGTTACTCAAACTTAGAATAGATAGAGTATTTGCAGGGGCAACACTTTTCAGAGTCTGTCCGTATAAAAGTCATATTATTTCAAAAACACGAAAAACAGACAAGCCTTTATGCAACAATAACAAGATAAACAACGACATTACCACTAGATCGAACGCTTTGAATGGCAAACAAATTGCCTTCTCTGTCGGTCTTGGGAGGAGTGAATTTCTGTCAACAAGAAAGAAAATAAGAAGTAAGTAGAATCCGCTTTTTCACAATAGTGGGGTAGGGAAATGCTTGTCTCCCTGTCATTATTCGAACCAATGAACTCTCACAACACCAGTCGGGCGGGAATTCTGCACCGAGAAGTAGGGTGTGTCTTCGTATGCAAGAATTTACGCTTCATGGAGGATCAAGAGAGGCACAACTGTGTCTCGCAATGACTTCTGGGATCATTGCTGGCGACACGCCGGTCACGTCAGCTATTAGAGAGATTATGATTGACGTATAAGTGAATTTGTACCACGTGACCAAGTTTCCCCCTTAATTGTCGTTTATTGTTTATTACCTCTACTCAAAAATAAGTCGTTTCAAGCCGGTTTTATCCCTAAGAATTGTTCTGGACAGTTTTTATCTGCTTATTTTCTATTCCGAGAAATTCTCAACTTGAATCTCACGTTTGCCGTAAACGTGACTCTTAATCTCTCCATTGGCTAATTTTTTTTCCCTGTCCATTGTAACAGTCCCAGAAGTCTTTGCGAAAGTGCACTCAGCCCAGTCTCCTTCTCGTCGCTAAAGTGGCGAGTGTGGGTTGAGTTTGTTTTTGGTTCTCTGCCTTGTTGCTGGGCTGCCTGTGGCAAGCCCAGTCATAATTACTGTATTCGGTCGTCTACGTAGAAAAACGAACACCCGGGGGTTGGGTTCTGCGGTTTCCCCCTCTCCTTAAGAAACCAACATTTTAAAATTCCAATTCTAACCGGAATGGATTTCACAATGAATCAAACAATGTCCTGCAAAGTCAGTATTCTGCATCCAAGTCAGCCCAACAGAAAAAAAAATTCACAGAACATACCTCGACCGGCGTTTCGCGAGATGATGATTCGTCCGTTTCTGGAAGGTCAAAGACCTAGGGAATATAAACACAAACTTTAGCCAAGTTTTCTGACACCAAGTTGTGATACCCAAGGCAAACATACAAAGAATTCAGTAAAGATTAAAAAGAGCCCAAACTCCAAATGGTCTGTGGTTAATGCTCCAAGCATGACCCTACAAAGTTGTTTTGTGATCCACAACCCCACATGTCTGTCTGTCCAGCGGAAGTAAAACGAAACAGTGTATGCAGTGCTTTCAGGCATATCGACATACACTTGGTGAAAACAGACTAGAGTGTTTCCTTGTCTGTGAAAAAAATTGCTCAGCTAAACGTCTGAGCATCTTTGTCTCATTTGGGGGGCACCCTCTTGCATGAATGCACCGTCGGAAATCCCACAAAGCCGCGGCCTGTTAAGAACATTGTGATTTTCAAATAAGATTCCGGAAGAGTAAGATTGGGAACCATATTACCTCCCATCCCCGCCCTCAGGCGCAATAAAACAACTAAGCACGATCCCCGCGGACTCTCGAATGTAGCGATTTAACTCGCACCGAGAAAAAGGGGAGGGGAGGGCGAATAGTTTAAGTCTCTGTTACTGCTGTTAGTAACTTTCAGAGGTTTAGGACTAAATGTGATAACACTTACCTCAGGACTAGCGATTAACAGTTCCACGAGGCGAGTTTGATGAGGCATCTCTACAAGCGTGGAAAGAGTGGAGGTTGCTTCATTTTCACTGCAAGAGATTTAAGAGGAAAGGACTCCATTAGCCAAACATCACATTTTCCATGCTGCTGTTATTCTAAGCCTGTTCTAGGCGTTCAGACGGTGGAGAGCGAGTTAACTCGTAATTCGTTCCGCATCATCTGAACGCCTGGAAGAGGCTACTGTTATTCTAAGCCAGTTAGAATTATTACCAATGAGAAGACTCTGTTACATAACCCAAGACAGAGATGGCTTGAAATCGCTGACAGGTTTACATTACTTTGCTTCGTTTTGTTTACTTTAGAGTTTTTACCATGGTCTGAGCAGTGTTGGTCCAAACACAATCGCCAGGTTACTCCCAGGCATAGCATTCGCTTCACTGTGGTCGGATACTTGCTTTAGATGCATGATCAAACGTGCCGCAGTCACTCGGTTCGCCGTCGGAAGCTTCATCACAATTTCTCGAAGTCTCCCGAGCAGCTTAGTATACTCTTCCCGGAGATCTGGATTTTCCGAAGCATCCTTGCACGTCATGTTGTTATTTATGACAGCAAAACTCTCCTGAAAAAAATAAATAACAAAAAACCCGTTACCTTTGGTTTTTGCGCATTTTGTGTGACTACAAAAGGTTACAGTAGGAGACACAGTAATGGACGTCGGCTACGTGGGAATTCGCAGAGTAAGCGATAAACCATGTTAATGCAAAAGAGAGTTGCCGTTCTGTAAATAAATGCACTTAAACGCGATATAACGCATCCCTATAGAACGAAACCCCGATGTAACAAACGCCGAACCCCTACATGATGAAACCCCGATATAATAAACCCCTCCAGTCCTACAACAAAATCCTAGTATAACAAACCTCTATATACCAAAACCCCGATATAACGAGTCCCTATCGATGTAACGTACCCTGGTGGGACTTTGTTAAACGGGGTTTCCCTGTAATAAGCTCTCACGAGTCACTGGAAGAGAAGCTATCACAGGGAAACGCTCTTGTACTAACAAATACGTCAGCTAAGTTGGTAAGCCTGTGACAGCTTCGTGAAATATGAGCGACGATTTGATGAAATCCAGACCTTCAGATAAGGGGGGGTCATCCAGACCCTGAGATAAGGAGGGGGGGCAGGTCTCAGTTTGATCTAAAAAGATGAGGGCCTCTCGGACCCCTCCCCTGGATCTACCACTGAAAATTGCTTACCTTGGCTATCCTGATAAACTCAGGGTACAGTCTAAAAGTCAGCAGCGACTCTGGAAGCTGAGAAAAAAAAGTAAAACAGCGTCAGAGGAATAAAGCACAGCTCAGTTATCACGACAAATGGAGGGATGGAGTGCCACTCCTCACCCAACGAGGGTGGAAAAGTTTAATACTACAGGGTTCCACAGATTTTTGGATCCAAAATTTACGATCTTTTCCAGACTTTTCTCCAAAACAATAATTTCTTTATCCAGACTCAAAATTATCAAACACACCCTGGTTCCTGAAAGGCCGATTAGCGTTAATCCAGGATTAAAATTCTGTTCTGTTTTTGCATTCTACATTCCTATGCACTGCTCAGGGGAACATTTTGTGTTATTAAGGCTCAATAGTATTTTGTAACCTCGAGTTGCATGTTCTTAGACGAGAAGACCGTGCTTGAAATTTGGCTTAATCCTGGGTTAAACTTAACCATCTTTCGAGGAACCGGGCCCAGGTATTCAATAGAGACCTTAAAAACGCAGGAAAAAAGCTTTTTTTCATGGTGCGCAGCAAACATACGGGTGAGACTGAATAAGACTTGACCAAAGCGAAATAAAATTACTTCTAAAGCGCTTGTTGCAGCTTTAAAAGTAAAACTCAAGACTTTTTACCATTTTTAGACCCTCTCTCCATTTCCCGACTTTTTCCAGGCCTGAAACATTGCTGGGCAGATTTCAAAACTTTTTCAAGAATTTAAGTCTCTGTAAGAACCCTGTAATATTTTTTACCAGTGGGGGTAGAAGAAGGCGATGTTGCTTACCTGCCGAAGATAAAGTTTAAGAACGGCTGCGATCACATGGGGTGGAGTTTCTGACAAATCAGCCAAGTATACATTATTCTCAAACGCCTGTCAAGACGAAAAATAAAGTAGGATATACTCAAACCTCCAGCAAACACAAACAATTCAAGAACGAATCCTGATAATTCGAAACTAACCTATTGCCTAAAATTCTCGCAAACGTTTGCCACAAATAACGGAACCAATCGAGCCTGCCTGTGTGTCACACACGTTTTTTCCCGCGCTAGGTACCAGCTACAATTTCTGATTGGTTCTTGAGTAATTTGAGTCTGCGGTGACTGGTCAGCGAATTTTTTCCTGTTTATGAGCCAGGAATGACGCCAGGAATATAAAATCGACTATAAAAGCTATGCAGTCCTAAATCTAATAAAAAACTTTTGTAACTACTCTAGCACAAGGTAAAGTGATTTGAGTTTTAAGCATCTATAATCCCACCTGGCATAGTTTTTCGACTCTTGACTTTACTCCTGATACACGATAAATCCCCTAAAAATTAAGGAAAAAAAGGTTAATCAGTGACCGGAGCTACAAGAAACAGAAAACACAACAAGTTTACAAAGCAAGCCTCAAAAGCAAAGACAAACGAACACAAAAAATTCCATAAACTTTAGACACTTACTTTAACATCGAGTCCTAAGAAGACAAGGGGAAAAAGAAAAGTTAATAAATTGCGGAAATATCGATTGAATAACCCCCTTAATCATAGTCAATGTGCCAGTATGCTTGCTGTAGAAGAGTAGAGGTACTCATCTTTCTTGCATCCCCAATTATCCTCTAAAATCGTTTCATTTGAAGAGTAATAACCAACATTGCAATCAGTATTCCATCACAGTATTAATCACCTCGAAGTTCGTCAAAATACTCCGAGGTGCGTCATATTTCCAACTCTTTTCTCTGTGTTTGTTCTTGTGACGAAACACTGTTTTCTTCTGTTCCTCGTGTTTGATATATTGCATCAAGGCTCTGTTCACACAGCACTGTGCGAATCTTTGTACGGCTGAAAAATTTGACTGGACACTTCGTTCACATGGAACCGTTGAATAATTTTGATCTGTTGACATGGAACTTTGAACGGCTAGGCGTTTGAATTTTCGTACGGTTAAGGTGGTCCCGTGTGAGCGTAACAACGAAACGCTGCCGCAACGTGCCGCACGTTTTTTCAACTGGTTGAAAAATCGTCCGGAGCCACATGAACATTGCCTAAGTCGAAGATATCAATTCTTGGCTTAGGGGAGGGGTAGGTGGGCAGTTTCCCAGAAACGTATGACGTCACATGCAAACTGGCAAGAACAGAGTGAAGCAGTTGTGTCGCCTACCTCGTTTATCAATTTCATCAATACAAGCCGAGATGATGTGCGGGACATTTTCGTCTGTGTTTGAGTCTTCAAGATGTCGCTGGAAATCCACCCCAAACGTTGTCATACGTCGCTGAACTTTCTATTGGTTCATAAGAACAAAAAACTGGTTATTTCCTGTGGTGCTGTTAATTATGCAACATAACGTGTACATCTTTAAGGGTTACCATTCGCATGAAAGCTACTGAGCAGGTTGTACTTCCTGTGGTACTTTTTACTTTGCTACACAAAGTGGTACTAACTTTTGAGTATGTAGATGAAATCCTTAATGGTGACAATTCAAATGAATACTTGGCAATAGTTCTTGTAATACTGTTTATTATGCTGTACAAGGTGGTTCTAACTTTAGAGACTGCTGTTGAAATCCTAGAGGGTTTCAATTAAAAAAATAACTACCGAGCAGTACTTTCCTGTAGCACTGCACATTACGCTGTTTAAGGAGGAACTCGCTTTTGAGACTGCTAATGAATGCTAGAGGGTTACCATTCAAATGAAAGCAATCGAGCGGTACTTTCCTGTGGTACTATTTACTTTGCTGTACAAGGTGGTACTCGCGTTTGATGCTGCTCATGAATCCTAGAGGGTTACCATTCAAATGAAAGCTACCGAGCAGTACTTTCCTGTGGTACTATTACTTTGCTGTACAAAGTTGTTCTAGCTTTTGAGTCTGAAAAAGGCAGGGCACGCCTTGCTGCTACTAAAGCGTGACAAAAGTCACTAAAGCGTGACAAAGTTCCTTACCGCGTAAGTCCCACACTTGATGTTTAGTCTCGCCAGACATTTTTTGTGACAAGTCAGGCCACACACTTCACACTCGGCTCCATTGAAAGCCACGTAGCTATCGCAGACACGGCATTTAGATGCCGAGCGAAGCTTCTTCAGCCTGTGCGTCTCCGCTGCTGATGATAAGCGGCTGTTCTGGAAAGGGCCCGCTGACGGACGATTTTTGGCTGGGCGCTTTCTATGGGAGCCTGGGTCCACGGGACCTAAGTGGATGTGAATCAAAAAGCACAACTTTCAGGAAGTTCTATCGCGCAAGACTAATTTTCTGTTGGGGATATTGCTATGCTCCGCTAGTTAGATGATGGGGTGGCGTTCGTACAGATTTTTGGATCCAAGACTTTTTCCAGACTTTTATCCAAAACAATAATTTCTTTTTCCAGACTCAAAGTTATCCATTAGGTGATCAATAGACCTTGAAAAAGCTGGAACAAAGCGTTTTCCCTGATGCACTCCACACCTACCGCCAAAATTGAATACGATTTGACTAAAACAAACAAACAAAAAAACTTACAGAGTACTTGTAGCTTTCAAAAAAAAAAACTCAAGACGTTTTACCATTTTTCCAGACTATATCTCTATTTTACAGACTTTTTCCGGGTCTGGAAAATTGCTAGGCAAATTTCAAGACTTTTCAAAGAATTTAAGACTCTAGGCGAACCCTGGAGTGACCTCTTTAGAACTGTAATTCATAACAACAACCCTGGGCAAAACTCCTGGGACACACACTAACGCAATAGCTCGTCAAAATGAGGTATCTTCCCTTCCCCCCCCGCGGTGCAGTGTTGACGTTATACATTCAAGTTTTAATGCAACACAATCAACACTGCTTGGGAGAGAGGGCGACCGCAGAAATAGCCCCTTATAACAACATCCCCAAGCTTTTTTTTAAGAGGTAGAACATGAGTTAATTTAGTAAAGTGCGTCTTTGTGCCTAGTTTCTTCAGTGTCCCAAGATGTTTTGACCAAGATTGTTGGTAGGTTGTAGGTGAACGTAGTCCTGAATAGTACTGTTGTTGACAGTGACTGGCGTTTCCACAACTTGTGTGGCAGTCATATTCAGAGTCGAAGTGAGTTGATAATTCAATTATTATAAACAAAACTGTTTCCACGAAGAAATAGAAAAGGCTGCAGTAAAATACTCGCTAATGAATCAAAACGCTTACCATTCCTTTTCGATTCGCCTTTATCTCCATCATCAGATGAAATCAATTCTAAGGACTGCGCCCGCGGGATATCCCCTTGTTTACGGGAAGCTGTGGGACTACCGCTGGGTGAACCCGGAGGAGACCTACTGGTTGTGCTTTCAGCATCGCTGTTGTTTTCCTTTAGGTGGCTCCATGCATTCATGGGCGACTGTGAGCTGCTAACATTGTGTGAACCCACGCTCCGGTTACGTCGTGTGTTGTAGGGTGACATTTTAACGCTATCTTCTAGATTTTGACTGCTACGCGAGTCGAATAAAGAATTCTGGCGGGAATATGCGGGCTGTCCTTTATCAGACCTGTGAACAAACAGGGAGACTAGATAATTTACATGTGACGTTATCACAATTCACAATATACAAAACAAGACTAGCCGTTCCACTCTCAATTGTCTTATGGCCACGCTTAAATGACGCATTTTTCCGTTACATTTCTGTCGCCATATTGGTGTTTCTCAGACGGGTACACCCAGCCTCGTTCCCAGGTTCTCTCTCCTACCCGTCGAGAGACCTTGCTCCGTAGGGACGGGTGGGAGAGAACCCTGGGAACGAGGTTAGGGTACACCAACATGACTTTCCATGCTAAGCTCCATAACCCTTTCGCTCCTATGAAAACACACACACCAGAATGGCCATTAAGCGTGTTTACGTCAGACGAGCAATCCTCGTTTTGACGTTGGCGCTCTTTCCGGATTAGCATCCGTTTCAAAACAAATATCGTGGGAATTCATTTATGCAACACTTCGCAATTCAGATTTTAGAAGCGAGTCTCAGAGGTGAAATTTGTCCGTGTGAAGTAAACATGCAAAAGGGCTATTTTGCGGGAGAATCTTGCGTCAGGGAGATAGAGGAGAAGAAGTTGCCTAACCCTAACCGCTCTTGCCTCCCTCGCAGGTGTTTTTAAGGGAGCTCATCTTTCATCCCTCCCCACAAACGCCTACTCAACCGAGAACAATATTCCTTTCCCAAACTTAGCCAATCACATTGTACTTTCCAAATTCTGGAAAGTTGACCTTGACCGCAGAGTTATCCGATAATTACTCGATCTGCACGAAAGACTGCGAAAGCTTTATGACCTCTGATAGATGTTAGACTCATAGCAGCAAAAGTAAGATTTAGTCAGATTTTAGACTACTCCGTGCACTACACAACCTTAGCGAAGGAAAGAAAAGAAGGAAAATGGTAACTCTAGGGTCACGTTTTTACAAACCAGGAGCTTATGAGTCGTGTTTAGCATGTCACCACTTTATTTCAAAACTGTTGATTGGTCACTTACCACGCGAATAAAACAATAGAAAAGATAATATGCTGTTTTCGGTTAAGCAGGCGTTTATGGGGAGATACGAAATACGAGCTCCCCTAAAAACGCCTGCGTGGGAGGCTGTAACCGCTCGAGCTGAGGCTAAGAAAGAATGCTAGCAAACAATCTCCATTTGCAATAAACGACAATACATACATTGTAGCATTGTATGGTTCAAATTGATGGACTGGACAAACAGTTTGCGGCGCGTTGGCTTGCTGCAGGCGAACATATTCGGAGAACTGGCTTCCAGGCTCGTAATTTCTGCTGCTTTCCGCAAGGGTCTGGAACTGAATGGGAGCAGGACTGGCGAGTGCGTTCATCATCTGAAAGTAGTTACACGTGACCTGGTAAAAGACAAATGTCAATCAAACGTTAAGTAACAAGTAAATTGTGTGCTGTTTATACCTATAACTTTCCCTCAAGAGTCAGTTCAGCTATTTAAATAAAAAAAAATATTCCTTTATTCAAAGTGATGAAGGCGTTCTTCAGGAAGTTTCCCACAATCTTAATACGCCAAAACTAAAGTTACCTTTTTTCAGTTTGAAACACAATGTCGACAACAACTTCAAGATTGCACTGGTTTTGCATGCCATGCTTTGTTCCTGGGTGAAAAATCTCGCGCCATTTTCACAACCAGTCAAGTGAAATCAAAGACGGTATTAAATCACGAGCGTTTTTCCCGCGCTTGGCGTGCCGTCTGCTGCTGCGCTACATGCATTTACGGCAAGTAATGTGATTGGCTAGCCAAAATACTGCTGTAACTAACAAAACAAGTGAAAATGCAAGTGTGACCACAACTTACTGCCTTCATTGTCTGGTCACACTGGTAAACAAGCTGGCGTAGCTCTACTAGGACTTTTGATTTGGTATTTTCCAATTCCTTTTGCCTGGCATTAGCTTCATTCACCCAATACTTGTAAACCTCCTCCGCTTCATCTGCTTTTCTTAAATCACCTTCTTTCTTTTTATTGCCGCGTGAAAATGCAGACAGTGTGGCGGAAGATGACTCTTCCTAAAATATAAAGAAAAAAGAACTCAATCATTGTGCTACCTTTAAAGGGGCTGTGTCACGGCAGTCAAATTCATTTTGTTTAATATTGCCAATTACTCACCCTCAATCGCTATGGAACTTAAAGGAGCTGTGTCACGAAATTCTGCCAAATTAGGAAATTACAAAATGCCCGTTAAATTAGGAGAAACATAAAAATAACCTCTTAAAACATTAAAGGAAGGTTAAAATAACACAACAGAAACAGCAGGAGCCACGGATGGGTAAAACTGAAGAAGATTGAAACGGATTGAAATTAGGGTTTTTGAAAACTGTTCAGCCTAACAGTCTTTCAAAGTTGATCCCTACTGCTTGCAACTTCAAAAATAATGCTCAGGAGACATATTTGTTTGTGTCGGATCTCACATTTTGTCATTTGCATGAAATTTCTTTGCTTACTTTAAGTTTCATAGCGATTGAGGGCGAGTAATTGGCAAAATTAGGCAAAATGAACTGTACTGCCATGACACAGCCCCTTGAAAGTCAGCAAAGAAATTACAGGTAAATGACAAAATCAGAGATCCGAGACAAACAAATATGTCTCCTGAACATTATTTTTGAAGTTGCACGCAGCAGGGATCAACTTTAAAGAACTGTTAGGCTGAACAGTTTTCAAAACCCCTAATTTCAATCCGTTTCAATCTTCTTCAGTTTTGCCCATCCGTGGCATCTGTTGTTTCTGTTATGTTATTTTAACCTTCCTTTAAAGTTTTAAGTGGTTATTTTTATGTTTCTCTTAATTTAACGGCCACTTTGTAATTTCTTCACTTGGCTGAATTTTGTGACACAGCTCCTTTAATGCACTATTGAAAAATGTTTCTTCCCATTACCAAAGGACTAGTCTCCATATAATCACAAGGAACACGGTGATTTTCTTTAAGGGTTTTATCAACTGGCAAAAACGTTAGAACCACTTAACAGAACAAAATACCAACGGAAAGTACTGCTCAGTAGCTTTCATTTTATTGGTCGCACTTTAGGATTTCATCCACAAACTCAAAGGTTGAAACCACATTGTACAGCGTAAGTTACAATACCACAGGAAACTACTGCTCAGTAGTTGCCATTTGAATGGTCACTGAATTCATCCCAAAACTCAAAAGTTGGAACCGCCCTGTACAGTAATAAATAGAGTATCACAGGAAAGTGCTGTTGAAATGGTCACAAATTTAATATGGCATGACTCGATATAAGTCAAAGGATCTGACAGGGAGAAGAGATAAAACAACATCCAGGGTGATGCCTTCAACAAAACCTTGCAAGGATTATAACAAACCTTTTCTAGTTCCTGTTGCTTTTGGATGTACATTTGCTTGGCTTTTTTGAGGTTCACCAAAGCTTCATTCTATTGATTGAACAAAACGAGAGTGATAAATTCACCCCAAGAAGATAAGATAAGATAAGATAACTCATTTGAGGCAGCTTTTATTTATTATGCACCGAGGAGGGGAGGGGACAGGCAAACTTGTGTGGGGGGTATGGTCTGTACAAACATTTGGACCTCATCGGGTAACATACCACACTATTTAGTGCTGCACACACCAAAAAATGGCTCACATGAGGGCTCCTCAAGTTACACAGTCAGTTTTCACTACCTATGAACGCAACAAGACTACAGGAAATTTCAAACGAGCATGTACCAACTCACCAGTTTCTTAGAAGCCTTGGCCCAAGTATCTTTAAAGTCCTTTCTTGCTCTCTCGTGCACGTTTCTTCTATTTGTTAAAGGCTAAAGGAAAGCAGCAAATTGCAGGCAGTGTTAAGTAGATGATTTATAACTCAATTCCAATTCAATCAAAGCAAATGATTTTATAAATCAACAGTTTACCTCCATAAATCTGCTAGACATAAGCTGGGCATAGGTTTTGCTTGCATTATCTGCATAGTCAATATCCTGTCATTGAATTGTTATAAACAATATATCTATATCAGAATTTGACACAGTGATACTTAAAAAGAAACATTATTCAAATTAGTGAGCTTATGCAACAGGACGGAAGAGGAAAGAAGACTGCAAACCTTCTGCGATACGTGTGACATAAATTTGGTTTGAAACAACTTTTTGCCAAACTTCAGTTTCCTTTAAACAAATCTTTTTGTAAAGGACTAGAAAACATTGGTGTTAAGTCATGATCACGACAAAACATGCAAGTAATAGCCCTGTCACATTTGTCACACAAAAGTGCTTTGCGGTCCTCTTCTTCCTACCCTCCTGTTGAGTAAACTCACCATTGACTTAGGATGCTGACATGAAGTAATTTCAAAGTTTAACCCTTTAAGTCCCAATATCCACAAACAAATTCTCCTCAGTGATCTCTATATAATTCCTTAAAGAATGAGTCGAGGGAATTTGATAAAAGATCAAAGCATTTTCTCTTAGGTGATCATTTTATTAATTCTCATAACGTAACCTCTTGACATTGTATGGGTATCATTAATAAGAGAAAATTGATGTTGGTCACTATCGGGACTTGAAGGGTTAAGATGTGCTTGCCATGAGGGGGAAATGGAGTTTGATGGTGGTGGTTGGACTGTATGCCAGTGCTTGCCTCTCCACTCTGCGACAAACATTACCCTTGGAGTTTTGGTTTCAACATTCAATTTCACTTGGGTCTGATTGGTTTCTTCAGACTAGCTTCCAGGGATGTGTTTTCTTTTCATAGCAACCAACATTGCCAACTTTATCAGTGGTTCAATAGCCTGAGAAAACAGCCAACATTTCGCGCGAAATGACGCCCGAGAAAAGAGCACAGGATTCCACACTGATAACACATCACTATCCAGAACTGAGTAATGCTTCTGATTTGGTTGTGCCGCATGGAAAATTTGCTTCAACAAATCAGAAGCACTGCACAGATCTGGGTAGTGACACATCATCAGTATGGAATTTCTGCATTCGTGGGGAAACCAGCTGTGGTGCAACAAAATTTCAGCTGTTTTAAGTCCAAGCAAAGTTAGTCAGAAGTGCTAATCCCATAAAACCCAAAAAATTGATTATTGTAAGGGAAAAGGAGAGAATCACTGAATTACCTGATCCAAGGCTGTCACAAAAATTGACTGAAATGGTAAATAGTTCTGCAAAAATAAACATAATACAACTAAGATTTAAGTTCTCATGGCTGCATACATTTTTGTGTGTGTGTCACCAGGAAAGCTTCCATTGCACTGTGGTCTACCCCTATGTCTCTTCAGAATAACCTCACTTATCAAACACCTCATACAGTGGGCTAACAAATGAATAAATAGCGGCAGCCAGTAACCTTTAAACTTGTATACTCTTACACTTTTTACAGACTTTTTCTTGTAAAGTGCCATGAGCAAATGGTGATAATTGTTCCATAAAAAATGTTTTATAACTGTTACTGTAAATTATTATCATTTTTATTATATTATTACTGCTGTTCTCTCATCTGCGATATTACATCACATACCATAATATTCCATACACTTTGAGGTTATTTTATTCTTGGCTTTTAAGTCTATCCTCCTTATTTCAAACTCATTACTAAGTGTTATCGTACCCAAAAACATTCAGGAAAATTAAACCTAACATAAAATTGAACCGTGCCACAACATTAACATCCTTGAATTAGTTCTCTCACCTCCTCAGTAATGGCTGCTCTTGTTGTCTGAGCCAGTTTAGCTAATTTAGCAGTATATTCTAACTCTGTGAAACAAGCAAAAGGAGTCCATAAGTACTGATATTATAGTTTTATACCACAAAAAAAATCCACACCAACTTGTCAATAAGTCAAGTCACTCACCTAAATGAGCTCTTTTGTCTACATACGTTTCTATATCTTTGGAGTACTTGGCCCAAATCTTAGTTCTCTGTAAAAAATAATAATAATAATAATAAAAAATAAAAAATACAAGCCGTAAACTGAACTGCCTCTTATAATCACTCCCACGTACAAGCCCTCTCCAGTTCTACGCTTATCTACTGTACCTGTAAACCAAAAATTATGTCTAATTATAAGCTCTTTTAGATATAAGCCCCCTCCAATTGTAAAGTGATTTTGTTACCTCAGCGTCCTGGGTCCCTGACGCATAAAAATCCCCAATGATGCAAAACAATTCATGGCATGGATCCTGTAGGACGCGAAGATCGATCTATAGATTGATCAATCTGCAGATGTTTTTGTCAGGCTGTTTGTGTGATGTTTGTGGATGTTGTTTAACGGTGCATATTTCTTTTAGACTTTGTTGTGCTTTACAATAGATTGAGTATATTTTTATTTCAGTAAACCGTATAAAGAGTTTTGAAATCTGTCTTCATATTAATTGTCTGGTTACATAACAAACCAAGCATTTTCATTTTATAGGGCTCTTTGTTTTCTGAACTGGGACTTGATGGTTCTGGACTGGAGCTCATGATTTTCCACTAGATGAGTCACAGGACTCACCATAACTACTTGCAGCAAAACCACTGAATGTATTGAAGTGAATTTCATTTCTTAGGAAATGAAGCCTAACCAAAAACCAGTTATTGTAAAACGTATTTCGATCAGCACCAGTATTAGCTTAGTTCAAAGCACTTTTTCTATTCTGGTTTTAAGCCCTCTTGGATGTAATCCCCACCGTTTATCAGCCCTCCTGAAACTCCTTAGGAAGACGTATAAGCCAAGGGCTATAAATGGCACTTTACAATAACCCTTAAGCCCCAATATCCACATACAAATTCTCCAAACTGATCTCTATACATTTTCTTAAAGAATGTGTTGAGAGAATTTGGTAAAAGAGCAAGGCATTTTCTCTGCGGTGATCAATTTATTAATTATCATAACCTAATCTCTTGACAATCAATGGATATGGTTAGGAGAAAATTGATGTTGGTCACCACTGGGACTTAAAGGGATAAAATAACAACTGAATGAAAAAAATTGGTATTTCTTGATATGTATATACAATTTATTTAAGGAAACTTTAGAACAACAGTGCACTAACCTGCATAGCAATGTCAAAACCATGTTCCAGCTGTACTAACGCTCGGTCAAGTTCATCTGCTTTCTCTGCCGATGTGTCCACTAAAATCAACAAAATAACACAAAATGTTTAAGATATATAACATGTACTTACTTAATTAATGCTTTAGTATACCTCAAAATGAATGTTCTTAATGTTAGAGAGGCTGTCATCTTAATAAGATGGCAACTTGTGGTTGGCTTACCTTCACAAAAGTTCACTTGTTTTTCTTAAGACAGACACCTCCCTTCATCTAGAACTGACCTAAAAGGTTACAGGTAAGAGAATTTTTTCTGTACATGTTAAGTACCTGATTCCTTCTTTTCTGGACTTTTCGTATCATCTTTGTATTCAAGATAATCCTGATCATCATCAATATCTTCGTCATAACCTCTTTCATCATAGTCATCTTCATCATCACCAAAGTCTTCCAGCGACTAAACAAAACAAAACAAGCAGATCAACGAACAGTGAAGAAAAATTCTGATCAGCCATGACAATCTATTTCAACCATCATCACCAGTAAAAATCACAACAAGGCTTTGCTGTGAGAGATATTGAAGGTTGAAGGAAGCTTAACACTCTGAACCTTTGAAATCCAGGGTGCCCCTCATACAACTTTCATGACACAACTAAGATTACTTTCTTAGCAGTTAAAGCAAGTCACTCAGGGCACTGCGAAAGCACTGCCCTGGTTTAGCACCCCTTGAGGGTACCTTGCTAATTAGAGATAAAAGATTCCTAAATGAAAAGTCAAGTACATTGTTACATCAAAGAACTATTCCTAGGTGAAAATAAAAACCACAAAGAAGTCAGTGCAGTGCATTTTAGTAATAGATTGAAGTATGACCCTTTTTAACCTTTTTACCTTTTTTCCATGTACTCTACCCTAATGAAACACTAAGGGTCGGGAGGAGGGGGATGGAGTGGACACCAATTTATTTCCTCTTGGCTACTAAAGGCAAGTTACTATAAGGACAAAAGACTGAATGGCCAACTGCACAGTGTAAGATGTCTTTAGCACTTGAGTTGAGCTCGCGAAGCAGCATAATTTTCACACAATGCTGTGGCTATTCTAAACAGCCTTGAGTTCAACTCTTTCCGATGCTGGCATCAATAAAAAAATCAATTTCCTCTAGCTGGTTGGGATTCTTACTCTCTGTAGTCAATTCACTGCAATGTTCGCTTCTACACTGTAACCTTAAATTTCTGGATTGCAAACTCAGTCTAAAGGCACATGCTGCTAATGTTTCCCCTAACAGAAGTATTTTTGGAAAATATGTCAAAACAATCACTATCAAGTGGAAAAGTGCTAACAAAACCATTGTATTATCCACTGGACAGAAATTTATTCACTTCAAAATTAAAATAAATGTCCTAAAGGAGCACTCTTGGTTGAAAAAACTAATCACTCATCTAAATTATATGCAACTTCAGTACTTGTGTAGCAAGTTTGGGATTAAGTCTGAGTCAAAAAACAGGAAAAGGTGGTCAAAATCGTATTTTGTTATCCTATTATTTAAGTCCCTAAAATAGTATCACATTAAAATCTTCTGAGACCTAAATTTGAAGCTAAAGAGCTCAGGTAGAGGATAACTCAGTCTTACAAGACTTGTTTTTTATCAGTTCACTAACAGAAGACTACAGCCCTTATACTACTACATGAGAAATTTCTGCAATTTGATTGGCTTAGAGCAGTGGTATTTCACCTTAATTTGAAATGCCTACATGTGAAAATTACAAACCTTTTGCGGATAGTAGTATAAACAAATAATAGCATGATTTGTACGTGATATTTGGTATAAATACCACTCATGATATTTCAAAATTGTCTCAAATTTCACCCGCCTAACGGCTCGGAAATTGCGTATAACAATTTTGAAACATCACTCGTGGTATTTATGCCAAATATCACTACAAATCATGCTATTACCTATACAAATTTGACAAAACCACTAACATAACTTCAGGTAAAGAGCACCAAATATGCCCACAATAGCATTTAGAGCTAATTGATATGCTCAAAAACCAAAACATCATGATGCAGTATGGAATAGAACTGACTACTCATAGGGGCGAAAAATCAAAACTCAAAATTAAAAACCACCAGGTATACAGCACTTTAATCAGCAACATAATAAAGAAATGCTCAGTGACTTCTAAAAATTAATGAACTTCTACAAAATTGGTTTTTATTGACTTAAAAACCACATTTTTTTGATAAAATACATGTCCTACATGTATGGTAAAATGTTGGACACTCAAGAAAGGCAAGAATAGGGACATACGTCAACAACCTTTAGAAGGCCCTAAATGAAATAGCATGAAATCCATGATGTACATACTCACCACATGATCAATGCTTCCAAGCAGAACCAAATGAGCTGTCCTGACAGTATTTTCAATAAAAGACTTTTTCGTCATATTTATCATGATTTTTCTAATTATCTTAAGGCTGGTTATAACAAAAAGCCATCAAAATGAATCAACTCAGGTTTATGAAGCAAAGATATTAGCGGAGCAGTTTTCAGAAATGATGTTGTTAGAATCTCACAAACATTGCATGATGCAAAGAGGTCAAGTACCATGGAATAAATTTGAGACATTCCAAAAAATACTCCCACAGACTAGACGGTGACAGACATGTAGCATAATTAACTAGCTAAAATCATTTAACTGACTACAAAGATTATCAGAGGCCATTGAGTGAAGAACCAATTCCTTTAATGATATAGCAGTATAGCTGTTGTCAGTCACAACAAAAATTGAATCACACAACAAATAATAATAATGTGACACTGTTGGGCAACTCAAAGGCAAAATAATAACTTTGACGTGCAAGGCTAGCTGTGTGCTAAGAAAAACTTGTAGGAAGCAATGCCAAACTAATAAAATCCAGATGGAAAAACTAAGACTTACTACTTCCTCCAGGGCAATAATAAGCGGTAAGGGGCAAAGGCACAGACACTGACAAGATAAAATAATGTTGCCTTCCAAGGAATTTCACAATAAATAGAGCAATGTAAATTTGAGATCAAAAAGGCTCTCAGTGGACTAAAATAATAAATTATGCGAAGGTAAGAAAAATCCTGACAGGAAGCTACACTCAAAGTATCATGAAAATTAATGTTGTGATACTCTAACCACAATGGTGACTCCTAAGTAACAGTTAAGATTATATTAATCACAAGTGGCATTTAAGAGTTAAGTGTTATTTGTACCCAAGAGTAAGGGTGGGTGATTTTGGCAGCACCTCCCCCCTTTTCCCAGCTTCCAAGGATTATGTTCTATTCAAACAAGTACAAACTAAGTAAAAGAAAAAACGTTTTGGGGTGCTCCTGATGCCATTGTCAAGGTTGTCAGTCCCTTTTGCCAGTATTTACTTTGTTTATGTGTAACAAAACCCTTTGGTAAGAATAGTTCCTGTTTATATTTTCTTGAAGAAAAGTCATCATTGCATTGAATTTACTAGTTTTGTATTCTTTTCAGTGGGCGATCTACCGGAACAACCAAATTACCAAAAAACAACAACAACTCAAACAGAGAAACTGGAGTTGTGCCATTAGGAGTAATATAGTTTCCCTTTTTTTTCAAAACAATTTTATCACAGAGAATTTTCTTGCTTTTGGTGACCTGGACCTTCTCGCACCTTAATTTTTATGTTAGAGGGTTTTTTTTTCAGTTGTGGCCCTTAATGAAATGTAAAAAGACAAAGCACTTTTTTAAAAGAAATGAAGAAAATAAAAAGTTTCAAAAAAGTAACATTTTTTCACCACCTAGTTAATGCATTACTAAAAATCAATCTGAAACCTGGAATATCCTTTTGAAATAGCTAACATATTGTTTACAGCATATAAATTTGACATCAAACTGCATTGAACTTGAAGTCTAACATATCAAATAAATATAGACACTTAATATATCAGCACTTATACAAAGTGGGGTTACAGGAAGTACAGGACAGATGAGATAGTCCATGAGAAAAGATAAAAGGTCACAATGAAAAGAATAGATTATATACAACTACATTTCCAATAAAACCAATGCTAAAAATGCATAGTTTTTACCTCATACTTTCAAGCATGTCACATGCACTGCTGGAATTAAGACTACTTCCTGTGAATCATTTGTCTTTTCAAGGGGTTAAGGTAAATCACACAGAAAAGAATTACGATAATAAAATCATGTCTTAAAATCACTGCAGAGGACAATTTTAAGTACAGCAACAGGCCTTCATAACCTCTTTCAATCAAACATGTATACAAAAAAGAACTTCTGAAGTAACTTGTGACCTTTGGTATGGAAAAAAATCTCTCAGCAGTTGTAGTAAATAAAACTATTCCATTCCATGCATCACTATTTGCACTTTAATTTATTACAGCCTACAAGGAGGTTCAAGCTTATGAGTTTGTGGACGAAATCAATTTATATGAAAGCCACTGAGCAGTAATTTCTTACTCTTGTGGTATTGTATATTGTTTGTATGTAGGTACCAGTAGTTCTTAATTTTTAAGTATCAAGGCTGTGGATGAAATTTTTAAGTGTGAGCATGGATTAACTGATAGCCATTTCACAGTATAGTTAAAATATCAAGTTATACGTTTCTGTAAAAAAATCTTTCTCATAAAAAAAATTAAAAACGTACTACAGTCACATGCAACTACATCTAATTTTGCCAAGCATACAGGCCTCCCTGAAAGTCATTAACTCTTAAAACAGAAAAATCTTGGCACACAATCAACTTTGAATCTTACTAACATTCTTATAATCTGGCAAAATACTTTAATTAAAAAATAAATCATTGTTCGTTGTAGAGCTCCAACAACTTTAACAAATACAGAATGTTTGCTAACAGGAAGGTAGATTGAATTTCTCATAAGTACAGAAATTATATCTGAGGGAAAATAGAGTAGAAGTAGAGCTATAGGTCACAACAAAAGGTATATTCTGCTGGAGGTAGATAATCTTAGAGTTAAAATCTAATCTAAAGTGAGCTATAAAATGACGCGCCACACTAAATGACTCACTGAAGAGTGACACTAGCTTTCTCAGAAAGATGGACTCCCTCAGAGTTTCTCTACTGGGAAAAAAGATGTGGTTGAAGCTATCTAGTGAAAGCATGCCATACTGAAACAAGCAAAAAATACCACTCAGGGTAAAGATTGGTCATATCATTTTCAGATTTAAAATCTACAGAAACAGGAAGAATAGGTCACATACACAGAAGGGAAAGCATTCGAAGTGATTTACTTACAATGTAGCTTATTGTTCGTGTCTGAAGGCAACTGAGCTGACGACCCCTTCTTAGAAATGACATTGAAGTACTGTTATTATGAGGGGCATCATCACAGGAATTTCCCAAAATTAGTACCATTTGCATTGTCCTTTTTCACTTGAATTCATTGGCAGTTTGTGGATAATGAACAAGTCACAGTATTTACATCACACCTGTTTACGTGCCATTTGGTGCACAAATGTACAAGAACATTGTCATGAAATTGCCATGATAGAGGTGCAAGGAATGTCACAATGCTTGTGGGTTACAGGAAGAAATATGATGTGTATGAGTAGACTTTAAGTGTAATTCTATACTACAGTTTATGAGGGACGTTTGTTTGACCACAAAGGCAATAGAGCTGTCCAATCTTTGACATTTTAGGTGGGAACAGCTTGTCAAATGATAGCATGACACTTACAAAAGGAATGTCAGAGGAATGTGCTCAAATTAATGTATTTTTAATGTGGTAATGGCTCTTGCCCTTTCTGTGATTCCACATTTACTCTCAAATAAACAAACTACAAAAATAAGATCACAACCTTGTGAAATGGACCTGATAGATTCCTTTGACTGATCAGATGAGGAATATTTTTTCAGGAAAGATTAAAACTAATATTTAACTAAACCATATAGTATTTCATTTCCTAAACCCCCTGGAATTCTAAGACATGCCTTAAGAAATCCAACCTAAAAGGATTAGGTTGCAGATATATCTATTTTTTCAGAAAATCCAATGAAAATAAATCTTGTTTTAAATAGAATTTTACAGTTGTTGAAAATAGAAAAAAGTGAGAAACCAAAAAGTATCCTTAAACTACAAATTGAAAGAATAAGGTCATTTATCTACTTATGATGACAACACATTAAGACAAAACATGCACAAAATTCTTCATTGCTAAGAACCTTATGATGAATTTCTAATACTATACATGAATAAATGAAACAATAAGCTTACTAGCTATTAATTAAATTTACCAACTTTTTTGGAAATCTACATCCTAAGCAAATTAAGTGCAATCAGACAGCCGCTTAAGTTTACTTTGTCTCCTGGGGGGGAACCCTTACATTTTCTCTAAACTCAACCTGCTTAACCCTTTAACCCCAATATCCACATACAAATTCTCCAAACTGATCTCTATATATTTCCTTAAAGAATGAGTTGAGAGAACTTAACAAAAGATCAAAGCATATTCTCTTAGGTGATCATTTTATTAATTCTCATAACCTAGTCTCTTGACAATGTACGGATATCGTTGGGAGAAAATTGATGCTGGTCACTATTGGGACTAAAGGGTTAACACAGAAAACCTGTTAATGTGGACACTTTCTATGGCCCACTCAGCATCTTTATAAGTGGGTTTTGACCGTATGTACAACTGCCTGGGGAACTGGCTGCTTGAAGGAACAAAGAAGAAGAGCTGTCCACTCACAGTGTTCATCCAGATAATTTTTCTACAGCAAATGTTGAACTTCTCGTTTTGAACATCTCTACAAAATGGACACCTTTCTATTCTGGACAGGTTTCTTAGACCCAAAGACACCAAACTTAGTACACTCCCTACCTCCATTATATAGACAACTCAATTACAGACAATTCTCTTGGTACCAAAGATACTGAACTTTATACAAGTCTTACCTCTATGATATGGGGTGCTTACCACTTGTCAGAAAATTTTGGAAATTCTGGATGGAAGGTAAATGGTAAGGTCACTTTTTGGAAATTCCAACCGACAATTGAGGAGTATGTTTTGAGGTAGTCCATTCATTCCAGCTGTTACAAACCAAACGGAATGTTGCTTACCATTTACCAATTTTTCGGTTCCTTCTTGGTTCCAGACTCACACTACACAAATTCACCCCTTTTTTGGATTCAAACAGTATCAGATGTGGAGATTCTGCGGTAAACTGGTAAATGGCTTAACATTATGCTTTCGACACCCCAACTGGATTTTTCTTTCAAATGGTAAGCACCCATGGACAACTCTCTACGATGGACAGTTTTATTGGTCCAAAAGCAAAGCTCAAAAGAAGTCCCATCCAGTAGTCCGCGACAATAGATTTTCTTGCGCGACAAGTAACTTTTAAAGCTCACTTAGCCAATGAACAAGAGTCCAGGCAAGTCTTCCTTGAATAAAATCATTAACCAAGACAAGAAGAAGTGGCCCTGGGCAAGTGAAATGTGAGAGCTGCTTGCCCCAAGGGCAACCTTGGATTCCATTTTTTTTTAGCTCCACAAAGATAAGTTAACCCTCTTTTACGGGACAGTTCTCTTGTTCACAAAGACACCAAACTTCAAACAAAGCCTACCTTTATAATATGATGGACATCTATTACAGAGAGTTCTCTTGGTCCAAAATACACCAATTTGAAGCTTCATACAAACCCTACTTCTATAACAGGGACATCTCTCTATAATACGGATATTTATTTATACAGTTCTCTTGGTCCAAAAGATACCAAACCTCATACAAAGCTTACCCCTAGATTTTGTATAATAGTGACACCTCTCTACATACACTGCACAGTGTACATACATACAAGTACACTGTTTACAGGTAGCCATTACAACTCCTACAGGAAGATCATGGGTTATCTCTATATTAAGGTCTCTCCTTACAGATAAACCACCGAGCCCAGGAAAGGTTGGCCACACCACTGGGCTCTGCATCCCCTATGTCCTCTGTTAGAGACAGTTCTCTTCATCCCACAGGTATCAAACATCATACATTCTCTTCTTCTATAATATGTACACCCCTCTACAATGGACAGTTCTTTCGGTCCCAAAGCCACAAAACTTCATCCACTAACTCCTACTTCTACAATACAGTCAGCACAAGTCTGTAATGCTCCTGCTTAGTTCTGTCCATTTTTGTTTTGTATTAACCCTTTAAACCCTGAGAGTGATCAGCATCAAATTTCTCCTTGTAATATCAATGCTTTGCAAAGCAGAGTGGTCATGAGAATTACGTACATGATCACACAAGACTAATTTGCTTGATATTTTATCAATTTCTCTCCACTACTTCTGTAAGAAATGAATAGGGGCAACAAATGAGAATTCAAATTTTGATCTCGGGATTTAAAGGGTTAAAGAGGTTAGCCTGTAACAAAGACACCTCTGGAATGAAGACACTTGGCTTTGTCCCTTTGGTATGTGTATTAAGGAGGTTTGGCTACTACTACTGAGAACAAATACAGCAAGCAGGTTAAGGCGAGATTGAACTTGGTGTTCTCGTTGCTCGGACAAGCTTCCTCCTAAGCTGGCTTTAGTTGTTCATGTTTAACTGCAGCCTTTTTAATTCAGGCACGCGCGGAAGGCAAAAACAGTGACAATGCCCCTTTCTACTTACTATTCTTTGCTTAAATTCCTTTCCCATCATGTTTCTTTAATCATTCACTAGGTCAGTTACGATTCAAGTTACGGGTAAGTAATTTTCACTTAATGGCAATTCATTGTAAGCTAATTACCACCAAGCAAGACACTTCCTTGTAAATTTTATGTTTTTTGTCACTTCACATTCAACCTCAACAGGATCAAGTAACAAAGTTATTTTAATTTATAAGCTGATTAATATGAAGTTCCCAGCAAGACACTTCCTTGTATTTTTATAGTTTTTAGTCACTTAACATTTAGGTTTACACATTAAGCCATTCAAAATAAAACTATCATTATTTTTATTCATAAGCTGATTATCCCAAATTTTCAAGCAAAAAACTTCCTTATTCTTGTTTAAGTATTTTTTTAAATCTTATCCTTCGACCACAACCAGAAACTTTATTTGTGCCTTGACGATATGTTTTTATGGTGCTTTGAGATGCCACAAAACAAACATTACAGGAAGTTGAAGACACAGGTAGTATCTTTCAGTATACACACTTAAGAATTTACGAAGTGTTGACTCAAGTTTAAACTTCAAGCCGCAGGGTTGTCATCAAGAGCCGGGGGCCGGGGACTTTCCCCGGCTACTAAGAGAGTGGCTCCCAGCTACTTTTATTGAAAATAGAAGAAAAATAGAGCCAAAAGAAATCCCTAGCCGTTTGATTCCCCGTCTACTTGTTGTATTTACCCAGAAACTTGAAATCTTAGTGAAAACCCTGAAGCCCATTATTAATAGTGATCACATTATCATATTAAACCTTTCCAGTAAATTTAGAATGTATGAGGCTTTAGTTGCTCCTTATTTTGATTATTGCTCCAAAGTATGGGCATGTACGGGAAAAGGCCAGACTCCAGAGATTGCAAAATAGGGCTGGGAGAATTATAACATTTACTGATTATAATACAAGATCTGCAGGTATTCTCCAAGACTTAGGATAGGATACCCTTGAGCAAAGACACTCTAAGCAGCTCGCAATAAGTGTTTTTAAATTTCTGAATAACCTTTACCCGAGAGTTTAAAGAACGTGCTGCAACCAACCTCCACGGTTCATTCCTACAACGTACAAGGTGCCTCGAACAATGCTTTTGTACCTAGGCACCGTACTGAAGCTGCTTAGCAGGCTTTTAGCTATAGGGGGGCAGTCATGTGGAATGGCCTAGAAAATGAGCTTAAAGACGAGATAAACGTCACACTTTCAACTCCGCCCTGTCTTTGCCTTGAACCGTGGATTGCCTTGAGGAAGTTGTGATAGAACTTCTTTTAGTTATATATTATGTAATGTATATTTTAGGTCAATTTTTGTGTAATTATTATAGGATAGTTTTCTTAATATATAGATATATTTTGAGCATTAACGTAGTTTCTCTTAACAAAATTCAATGTTAAGTAAACGGCTCACTGGAAGAGCATTTTTAATGAAGCGATACTGTGAATAAAGCCTGATACTACTACTACTATTCCTATGTTACATCAATTGCCAGCATCAGGGAAATAAACGACATCATAACTGTAGCATGACTTCTTGAAATTAGCCAATAAGGCTCTAGTTTCCCCTAACCATAATCACATGAAGGCCTTGTATCAGGACCGCGGCTCACGTACACTTAAGAACCCACTGTTGTCTCCTGAAATTATTGTGCTCTTCAAAATCAAACAGATCAAATCTGTTTGGCCTACTTTAGTGCTTTGGACGGTTTTACTCTAAAAGCTTGTAAACAAGTCATTTGAAACTAACTCAAACATATGCAGTGCAGTCCTTTAAGAAACAAAACTTCTTAACATCTTATTTCTCCTTAAACACCAATGTGTGTCACTAAACATAAGTGTCATACTTTCTCAGGCTCCAATTACAAATTGCGTTTGGTGTTATTACAGATAAGTAATTACCTCTATAACCCTTGAAAAATGTAAAAAAGAATGCATTAAGCTTATGCAATTTCTGGATGGATTCCATCTTAAATTGTTGTGTAAAGGTAACCATGGCCGATTTGCATAAACTAAGTCTTAAAATGAGGGAATGCAGTTCAGAGAACTTGGCTCCTAAAATTCCAGCAAGGGCGGGGCCATGTCCCACACTCCACTACCCCCCTGCACCTGGGAAAGTGCACCTTTGGTGAATATTTTTTGCCTCAACGGCTATGAATAGTCCCTTATCTGCTGAGCTAAAATTAAGAGAAAACCTGGGAGATCAGTTCGGAGAATTTGTAGGTGGATATTGAGACATGGCCTTATACCCAATTCCAAGATGAATAAATCCATCCATATACATGATAGTCACCCATTTTGATGCAAAAATGCAACATAAATTTTATGCACTGATTAAATAATTTTTGAACTGCAAAAAAATATATTCCACAATCTAAATATGAAAAAAATAACAAGGTTCACAGGGACTGACCAGGAAAAAGAAGATTTTCAAATGAAAGTAAAATTTTCCTGTCATTTTCAGTGTATGTGATATTATTTGTCAGTAAAATGGTTAGAAGTCGTCTGAATCCAGCCCTGGTAAAATAGTCGAAGATCACAGTAAATACACACTAGTTAGGAGTGATTTACTCAGAAAATGCAGTAAAGCTTGTTATTCTGGATAATAATGATAACAGTAAAACCTACATACCCTTGAATGCTGTTTACTCATTGCAGACTCTGATAAAACCATATCTTGTTCTCCCATGAGGAAGTCAGAAACACTAAAATAAAAAAAATAAAAAAAAAAATAGTTCTGATTTAAGCACATGTACCATAAATTTTCAATTTAACAACCAGCTTCAATTTTACCAATAATTATTACCCTGATTAATTTCTTTTTAGGGGTAGGAGACAGGTGTTAAGCCCTTCCCTTTTAACTATGAAATATAAACCACCTGTCTCCTTCCCCTAAAAAGAACAAAAAAGGGTAATAATTATTAGTAAAATCCGACTAGTGGTCTATCATCAATGCTGCATTCAGATTGGTTGAGCTACTACTAGGCTATATGTTATAGCCCACTAGTAACGCAAAGCGTCGGATTTTTGGCGGCAAAAAAAGGATTAGAGTTTTGCTTTAAGTCGTTTTGTCTCCATATTTTTGACCAACCAGTTGGATTTTACTAAAACAATTATTCCTCTCGCCCTCATGGCCTCTGAGTCAATAGCCCATGAGGCCTTTAGCCTCATAGGCTATTGACTCAGTGCCGATTTGGGCTCGAGGAATAATTGTTCAATATACTGTATACAGTACATAGCACATATTTATATTTACATGTGGTGCTAGAGAGAAGATAATGGTGATTACAGGTAGTAGAATAACTGAAACTTGGAGACAACAGAATGCTAAATTTGAAGTGTAACATTTTAGCCTGTGAGCAAGCTCTCAGGGTCCCACAGCTTGCTGCAAGGCTAGTGAATTTAATACTGTGCACATTATTCAGGCCCTGATCTAGAGCATATAGTGACCCCTCCCTCCCTCCCCCACTACCTGGAAATCCTAGATCAGACATTGATTACTCTGTGTTTCCACTAAACATAGGACACATTTGCTTTTAACTTGAATCCCCAAACTAAAAACAAAATCATATAATTGCCTAGTTCCAAACCAAGGTAGGGTGGGTACAAGTTGGTTTATTATGGGATAAACAAAACGAGACCCACTTAGTCAGGAAGAGCCCATTGAGATTAGGAAAAATCTCACTTTTGGTGTTGATTGGGCCGATATTGAACACGATACAGCCATTTAAAAACTTGAAAATCAATAGTCCTGAGAAAATCATATTGACAGCAAGACACCATCCGGATGTCTAAAAATTTCTTTGTAAATTTTGGAGCTTTTGAATGGCTGTACTTCGTTCAATATAAGCCCGATAAACAACAAACTTGAGAATGTTTCTAACCTCAATGTGCTCTTTTGGACTATGTGGATCTCATGCTGTTTATCCCATAATAAACGGACTTGTACCCAGCCCCTCTTGGTTTGAAACTAGCCAATAAGGCCACACCTGGAATACAAAATAACTGCCCAGACCCTTTTCAAACCAGCACCACCCTTGACATGTCGCATGTGCTACAAAAAACATGGTTCTACAAAGATAGTAGGGACCTTAAGCAAGAACAATGGAAAGGGATTCGAAAACGCCCCTTGAAAAGTGAATTTATACTGCTTCAAACTTTATTGTGCTAATCCCAACTTGTTCAATTTGCAAATGTTGGCAAATTTTCTGGAGTTGAATCTAAAAGACTGAGTTGACATTTAAAAACATGAATAGCAAGTTGTTGTCTTGTGTTTATGTCCTCCATAAAACGTGAAATTAGGCAGATTCATGTCGTAGTCATGTAATGACTGTAAAGAAATCTACAAAAACTGTGAATTGTTGTTTTGCTCATCTAAACCTATTGCTTTTTTCCCCTTCTCGTTGCCGTTGCCATCATTGTTGTTTAAAAGCTCCCTAATTACATGTATCGGTGAGGTGTCAATAGGTTAACGTATGCCAAAATTAAAAGGATTACCTGCTGCTAAATGCTAAGGCAAGTTGATCAATAGACTCGTAAAATTCATCGGGGGCTTTACTTGTGTCTTCATAGTTATGGCTTTTAACTTTACTTATCAGTGTTCCAGCTGACGCAAGAATATCTGTTGAATGTAGAGGTTGGTATTTATTGAGGACTCCTTTGAGAACAGAGAGCACTTCACCAAGACGCTCATGAGCTTTCACTTCCGGGGGATCTCCATCTGGGTTATCTGTATCAAAGGAATAAGTATAACAAGTTTTAATACATGAGTACCATTAATCTCCTATTAAACCCGGGAAGGAGAGCTCATTTATTTCAAGCACGTTTGAAGGTGGGCTTTTTTGAGATGGTGGCTTACACAAAGTTGATGGTATCAGTTTTCAATCACAAAAAACTAAAATACACAGTGGCAAAACTTAAAGTACATGAAGTTAGAGGTCATACAAATAATGACTGTACAATTGTCAGGTTGAGCATTGTCATGTATTACTGTTTTCATTTTGAGCTGTATCTAGTAAGCAATCTTCCTTTCGAATAAAATAGCTGAATTCAACCTAGGTCTTGTGTGTTGTTCAATTAAATATCCATGTTAATGAATCCATGGCAATTTCCTCTGTTGATACAGGAACTAAAACTGCTATCTTAATAATTCAAGTAGACATCTGTTATTCAGTTATTATTTAAGTGGTTCTCAGCAACAATTGCATCTCGAAGGTAAACACACAGGTATGCCCGCACTTCCTACCCACTGGTTACTGCTAGTTTATTTACTGTTTGACTCCTGCAAAACTAATCACATACTAAGAATCTTAGCTAGTGACTTTATCAATGAGCACCACTTGTTATAGAGGTGGCAAAGATGCTTTCTACTTCAAAATATTCCCAGCTACATTAAATTTAATTCTAAGATGCTGAAATATAACTGAAAAATACATTGCTTTGTTCACACACTGAAGTTGGTATATGACAATGTTATACCTACCAATTTTTTCTGAGATATAAGCGTGAGATTTTTATCCTGGAAGTGCTGGGATTTTTGAAGACGACACGATCATTTCCGAAGATTCCCGAAGAAGTCGGAAGTCTTCCGAAGACATCCGAAGTCTGCCGAAGTCTGCCAAAGGCGAGCTCATTCCCAGTGCTTTTCACTTCAAAAATCAGAGATCGCGAGGAAGGTATTGCCATTTATTCATTTTACACATGGTTTTCCTTCCTTACATGGGTCTGAGTGAACATATTAATTTTTTTGGAAATTGTGTCAAGCAGGGCGGCAACAACTCACATTTTTCAATCAGGCGTGAGAAATTGGCCCGCAGGCGTGAGCCGGCGTGAGATCGAAGTTTTCAACCCGCAGGCGTGAGACTCACGCCTAAGGCGTGAGAGTTGGCAGGTATACAATGTAGGTGTCTGCAGTGATCTATAAGTTGTGACTGTTCATCAGTAAACAGTCGTCTAAATATAGGGTTCCATCCACACATATCTGGATATTTTTGAATCCACAAAATTGTCTTTTCGGATTAAAAAATTTCCACCTCCACATGCAGCATATTAAAATCCAATTTGCCCATCCACATTTATCCAGATTCACTCTCAGTGTGATGTTTGGCTCATGCAAGAATTTTCTTGCTATTCTTTTTCAATAACTGTTACACAGACAAAATTGTTCCACCAATCACTAGTTCACTCGTTTAACTTCTGTCTTACATGGAGAGAAGCCTCAGAATGCCGAGCAGATGCTTGGTATAATAATTACTGTACACTGCAATTATTGCAGTGTACAGTAATCATAGCTAGGTTTAGCTGCACACACATTATAAGACTTAAAACTGAAGTCCAAGTAGTAGAGAAGCGATAACATTGAGCTCAGTGACATCTAAAATATTCTTGGGTCAAAGAACTTAACCTTATCTTCTTACATCACTGGATGAACAAATAACCACATTATTTTAGTGTCCACACGATTTCGGATTCAAAGTGTACTAAAAATTTCCACTCTGAAGAGAGGATTCAAAAAGGTTGCAGACTTGTATGCTGGATACACCTTCATGAGGACAGAAGCCAAATCCGCCAAGAAAAAGCTGCGGATTCAAAAACATCCAGATATGTGTGGACGGGCCTACATTTTTGTAAATTATTTTTCTTATTTTAAAATCATCATAAATATTCATTACCATACATACAAAAATGAACATCAGCACACACATAACTACTCCTACAAAACTGAGCCAACAACAACAAAAAAATAACATTTGTTTCTGTCCGTTAAGAGAGCAAAGGAGTTAAATGTACAGGTAAGAGAAATGATGAGAGATTTTTAAAATTTCTTTCACTTCTGCGTTTACTTGGTGAAAATAAACTAAACTAAAGTGTTTATTTTTCACAATTTGCTATGATGATCACAGTGAAGCTTACGTGCAATGTGTTACTCCTTAGTTGTTGCCAGTGGCAATTTTAGAAAATAATTAGCATATTTTAAGGGGTATTGAGGTATTCAGGAAAAAGTCAACAATTAAAACAAAGCCCATGCGTTTGTTCTGTGAATGAGTATTACAAATCAAATCACACCAGGTTTAGACAGACAGCTACAAAATAAACATTCCTAAACAGTGATGCCAATAGATGAATGCATTCTATGAATTATTGTTGTGATTATCATCTAGTTGTACAATATCGAAAGTTATTACAACTCTTAGGTTAGATCTCTCCTAAATTTCACCTTCAAACATAACACGATCAGTTAAGCTGCAGATCCTGAAAGTCTGTTCGATTAAAATACGGTAATGCACACATTTCCATCTCACATTTCAGTTATAATAATAGCACAGTGCAATAAATTTTTTAAGTCAATATATTCAGCTTCCTAATTCTCAGAATACACATCTCGAAATCGGTTTTAGTGCGATAGCGTGGATACTTTATAAAGAGAAAAATATACAAAAGTGACAAGGGAATTAACTACACACGCGAGAATTTAGTATGTTTTGTAGTTTGTGTCGAAATAATCCACCATTTTAATCATCAAGAATTCACCAAAAATACCACAACCAAACCACATGACACCCTATGGTTACCTCTTTGTAGCGGAAGAAAAAGGGTTTAATTTCATGGTTTCATTACAAGGAATAAAGGAATGGGCGCTAAAATAGCGCTCTCAACAAAGAGACCTTTGATAGACTGTTGCTGTAGGTTTCATAGTATCACGAAAGGCAAAGCAACCCCAGTTCAAATTCTGAGTCAAAAAGTAACTCAGGAAAATATCCATGTGAGATGTCACTACCTTTCATGTCTATTATTCCAAGCAAAAATGTTAAAAAAGGTGATTAAAACTAATCAAGGGTTTTATCGTTCTCTGATATCCTGTAAGTTTAATTGCAATAAGAAGAGCGATTTTCGCAGTAATGTACTCTCAAATTGCATGTAGTACGATATCTTGCCTTTCACGAAATATTTACCGGTCAAAAATCTCGACTTCAAATCACATGGCTAAATAGATTGCAAATTACGTTTTTTGCACAGTTTATCTAGCCACATATTAAACAAAGACGAATAAAGGGAAATTAACTTTACACATCTACACAACGAAATGTGCTCACACGTAAACAACAATTCGCTCACCTTCGCACTCAATGAAAGTGTTCCTTAGAGCACTGAGCGCCTCGGAAAATGTGCGAACGTGGTATGTTAGAGCAATTATATCCTCTTGGAGTATCATCGGTGCTTCAACTGCCTCAGTGTAGTAGCTAGATTCGCTATTTACCGAATTACTTCGATCTGGAAAAGAAACTGAGGAGAACGACTCTCTGTGTGGAGCTGGTGTAGATTGCTTGACGGGTACGCTCACCACGGGTACAGGTTGACTTGTACTACGAATATGTCGTATACCAGGTCTCAAATCTGGTACTGATTTGCTTAGATGGGCACCATTTTCAAGCGCTGAAGGATTCAGATCGCTTGAATATGACCGCCGAGCATGCAAGGGCGATGGGACAGGCGAAGAACTTCGCTGGACATGGATAGCTCGCGGAGCATCGATTGGGCTTGAGGAGGTCTGCTTCCGAAAGGTTTCCTTGAGAAATAACAAAACACTGATTAAACTTTTTTTCTGACAGAACGCAGATCGCGGCACAAATGGCTAATAAACTTGAAAACTGCTACCAACCGGAGTCAGTGGTCGTAAATACGGCGGTGGTTGTGCATTTGAAGCCGGCGGCGTTCCAGAGGATCCCTGCTTTGCTTTCTTCTTGTTTGAAGTCAGAAATCGTGCCTTTATAACGGACGAGCTCATTTTAAGAGCTAACAAATTCCACCCCGCTGGCTTTGACGCCTTGCATTATCGCACCATTGCACAAAGAAAGAGCGTGATCGACAAAGAAGACCGTATGAGGTCAAATTTTAACACTTTCATAAGTCAAAAGACCCGTAAATTTTCTCTTCACAGTTTGTGTTTGGCGAATGCCATTACCCTCCAGCTTTGATTGACAAGACAGCGGTAAAACCGAGTTTTGTCACGTGACGTAAGAAGCATATATTATTTTTGGTTTGGAATAAATTAAGGTAGCACGGAAACTGTGGAAACTGCGAGTGAAAATAAGAACTTTATAAGCATTATTTCCTTCTTAAGGACTCATCCACCGACAGGGAAAGATAGAATTCCCATCTGGAGACAACGACAGCTTATAGAAAATATTATTGTTAAATAATATTATTTATGACGACAATACTATTTTTATTTTTTATTTTATAATTGGCCAGAACGTGGTTACAAAGGTATCAATGTTGGACCGTTGGGAACACAAATCAAATTTAATAAATATTTGTTGACAAAACAACTTTATGTCTGAATATTTGTATTGCCGACGAGCAACTGATCATAGATTTATGCAATTTAAGGGTCTTCCGAAGTATAACTTCCGGTTTAAGAATGCTAAAAAAAAGTCACAAACTCGAAACCGTCTGCTTCAATATCACGTTTTGAGTGGCCCTTCTACAAAAAAAACACCACATTCGTTTTTAACCAAGTTTTTATCATTATCATTTCCCTTTTGTAACAAGCCTAAAGTCGATTGTATGCTACGAACAATGTTATGCTCAGATCGCTTTTATTTAAAAGTAATTGTGCATGACTGACTTCAACAGAAAGTTAACAATTAGTTAGATATATTCATTTCAAGGGTAAGGTAAAAATATTTGACCTTTGCGCCTTCTCTAAAAAATAATAATGGGCTGAAGATAATTACGAAATACTGGTTCTGAAAAGCTAGACAGAAGTTAAAACGTTTTTTAACGTCGAACTATAGCTAGATGGTAGTTTCGGTGTTTGTATTAGCTGGAACATCAATATAAGGCTACAATTTAAAGTTCCACTTTAGTTTGTTTATTCATCTTTACTTGGAGAATGTCTAGAATGACGCAAAAGTATATAAACAGCACCACAGGAAATCAGATTCCAGTCTGATTATAAACGAGTTCACTCAAAATCACAATATAACCCTAATTAAGGCTAATGACACAAGGTTTTGTTGGTCAACAAATTTTGTGCCTGATGTTCAATAAAGGCGCACATGTTGAATGCTGACATATGACTAAAAAAATTCGCTTGTTGTTGACTTATCACATGATAGCATGTGATAGGCTTAACTTTTTGAATCCTCCGTCCAAAACCAATAAGTCAAGAAAACACGATTGCGCCTTTTTCCTGTAAACAACAGATTTTAAAACTGTTAACAAAAGACTGGCTCTCGCGCAATTGAGACAAAATCTCAGTGCTGCATCCTAGCTGGGACTTTGCAAATTGAGTTGGGGTTGGGGAGGGGGGGCAGTACCCCGGGGGGGGCACTTTAGGAATTTCTGGGTGGGGATGTGCCGCTGGGACCCCGGAACCCTTAACCTTTACCAGAGCTAGTTCAGCTGAATTTTGCTACCCTATACTAGAGTAAACTCCCCAAATCCCCCTATCCTAGAGTAGCTGTTTCCCCAGTCTAGATAAAATCTTCAACCAACTGATCACCTTCCTGAAAAATGATACCCTATTCTAGACCTAAACGCTCTGATTTATATACCCTATCCTAGAGAAAACTGCTTGAAAACCATACCCTTCACAGCGGCACATACCCATATAGCCCATATATGGCAGTACCCCCCCCCCCCGGGGCCAGTACAAACCCAGCCTAATTTCTTCGGGTCCCGCTTCAGCTAGCCTCCAACACAGACGTTCCTTAAGGGCTTCCTCATGCCACTCTGCACGCGATGCGTTCACAGAAGTTCGCCTCAAATCCCTTCATCAGTCGGGGGGAAAAAGCACCACATTGCATCCCATTTTTCCCTCTCCAAAAAATCAGAGGCAAATCCCAGTGTTTTAGCTCTTTACAGCTCGGGAGGATTGATTCTTGAGTCACGCCTATGCCGTAAGTACGCATCGAAAAATCATTTCATCTCCTTTTGTTACATCGTCGATACTGAAAACAAAGTTCTATTAAAATACCACGGTATTCGGGGTCCCTGCCTGGGCATGCACACTCATAAGGAAGCCTATTTATTAAATTCCTAATGGGCATACAAGTATTAAACCGCCAGGACCACTAAACGCCCGGCGGCGCAAGGGAACTCAGCTCCTTAGAAATCAATTACTGTTTGACTACAGAACTAAATTGCTAGATTTTGTAAATTTTGTACTTGGGTTAATGTTTTCTAGGTATGTTCCGCTGGCCTCTCAGAGCCCCTAACCCATTAGAGTCTATTTTTTCTGCCAATTATAGACCCCATCTTAGTCACTTTTTGGAAAATGTAATTTTCGCGATCCCAACTTAGTCACTTTCTATTTATGCATCTACCTTATCAATGTGGTTTCAAGCGGCGGAATGTAATGCGGTCAATGCGAGCTTATTGTTAAATTTAATAAAAAACAACTTTCTGATTTTTTACCTGAGAATCTTCCCATTTTGAATCCCTACTTACTCCAAAAATCCGAAATGTGCCACCCCATTCTAGTAAATCTATTGAAAATGCGACCCCATTATAGTCAATCGAGTCGTGAAAATGCGACCCCATCCAGCGGCACATCCCTATTAGTCTTTTGTAAGGGAGTACCCCCCCCCCCCGGTTTGATTGAATATGCTTATTTGATGAATCATGATGAATCAGTTTGGTGATTGATTGATTGATTGAGTTGCCCGTATGACGTCTGGTTATACTCTATACAGTCAGTAGTATTGCTGATTGATCTATCTGTGATTGATTGTCTGTTTCGCACATACTTTAAGCTCTCAATTATTTGTTTGTTTTTATCAGTATTAAGATTCGATTGAGCTGGCCATTTCATAAAGGCAAAATGAAAACAAAGTTATTAGCCAAAACAATATTCACAGTGGATCGTTATTAAACAAAAGTGACAATAGTCACTTACACTGCAAGAGGGCACTGTACCTACGCAAACTACATGAGTACATGTAACTGGTAATATTTTGTATGGCTAAGATAAAAATGCCTTTCACTTTAAACTCGCTAAATTTAATAAATGAAGTGAAGCCTAAGTAATATTATCACGGAGAGTGTGTGAATTATTGAACTATAAAGCACCCTTTGTTAGTCTACCTTAAGAGTGATGGACAGATAGGCGATTTCTACAGCTAGGTGAACGAAATCAGCGCCGGCGAATACACACGGAATGTACAATCACAGCAGGAAAATTCGCAAGTTTTAAAAAAAATGCATTCATCGGATACAAGATGCATCACGATCGCGTGGGGCAATTCTTATCCTGCTGGATAACGTGGTAAAAGATCATATTGACAATGTCTAGCAAGATCTCGTATAAAACTATGAAGCCGGTCTAATCCTATCGTTTGTAAGCCCGGTTTGTAAGTGGCGATCATGTTACGGTTTATCGTACAAATACCTTTCAAGCTGGTGGATCTCTTCAGCAGATTTCTACGGTTCCGAATGCGGCTCACCGAATTACACCAAGACTTGCTCCTTTTTAGCTCAAATTTTTTCAGTTTACTCACGGCAGATCCCAAAATCTTCGATGGACTTTTTGAGTCGCCACTAATAACTGTCCTGTTTGGCACATCATTTGTAGCCGAGTTGTCTTTTTTTCCACTCCACATCGTTTCACCAAATATCTGTCCCTGGAGCTCATAAGGTTAGATTGATAGGTTTAGCCACAGCTTTCATGAACGGCAGAAGTTATCTCGAACTTGAGAGTAAACAAACTCCATATTCAGCATGGACGCGTTAATAAATACCACTGATATCTTATGGCATGTTTTGGAAGTCCCATGGGGTAACAAAATTGTCTTCTAAACGATGCCTTTTGTGTTTCATACGCATGCTAGGCGCATAAAAAAAATTTATAATAAATTCTTAATTGTGTTTATGTATCATTCTTTAATAAGCCAATTATCTGGAAAAGTGATAGTGAAACTTAAATTTTCACAAAGGGAAGATAAAACCTTTACTTGTTAATTTTACTTGTTAGGCCGAGTAGTACTCATGGAGCTTTTGTTATCTGTAAATAATTCTCGGGATAAGGCGTTATCTGTTTCTGATACTAAGTAAATAAACTGCCTCAAAAAATCCATGATAACGAAGGGGGCTAGACAATACTAGCCTGAAAGAGCATACGCCTTCCACAGTTTTTTAAAAAATAAGAAGTTCAAGACAGACGCTACACTCCGGCGAGAAATTTCTCGAGGGGAGGGGGTGCGGAAAACCAAGAGCAAGTCATTCTTTTCTCTCGCCCCAACCCTGCCCGTGGCTTAGGTGGAATCCGGAATTAATGCTCTCTTCGATCTGTCGCTGGCTGAGGGTACAATAGCCTGCGTGGCAGACGTTCGAAAGGGAAGCGGAAGAGACTTCTGGCACGAGATCGCGTCCGAGGGAGAACCCTCACCCTCGCGCGCCTTTCGCGTTTCTCAGGCACCCAGAATCCTTCAAACTTACCACTGGCCTGTTCCAGGCATTCTAAATGTAGGGAAAGCGAGGAGATGTGTCAAGGACAGTAAACACCAAAGAGAATCTGCTTTATCTTAAAAGGGTTTTCACTTTTGTTTATTGTTTGTCTCACCATATATAATTGTGTACATAATTGTGTATGTATAACCACCGTGGATGACAAAAGTGATGACGACAAAGGAAAGAAAAATGACTTGTTATGATGGTGATGACACGTTGTGATAGCGATGATGCGTTATGATAGTGATGAGGAGTTATGATGGTGATTACACGTTATGATGAGGACGACGCATTATGATAGTGATGACGCGTTGTGATAGTGATGAGGCGTTGTGATGGTGACGACGCGTTACGATAATGATGACGCGTTATGATGGTGATGACGTGTTATGATAATGATGACGTGTTATGGTGGTGATGATGCATTATGATAGTGATCACTCATTATGAAGGTGACCAGTGGAACATGTACACGCGGATGGGTCGCAAATGGAAGGTGCACTTCCTACCAGTAGCCTGCGAGCAAGCTCCCCTTTGGCAACCTGGGGGCCAGAGACTACAATTTTATTTGAGGGAGTCACGAGAAGTCACACGAAAGCAGCACACGAAAGGAGACACGAGTGCCCCTCGCGGCTTGCTTTGCTCGCCATAAATGAAGAGCTTGCTTGCAGTCTTCGTTAGCAGCCAGTAGTATATCGCTCACGAGCAAGCTTTTGAGGGAGGGGAGTACGGGAAAACTCTCCCTGCCCCACTGCCGTCCCTGAGAGTTGATCTGCGATCAAACTCTTAGGGGGTGGGGAGTAGGGAAAACCCTCCCTCTCCAGACCACAACCCCAAGAATTGATCGGCGATCAAATTATTTTGGGGGGGAGGGGGTGGGATAAGGGAAAAACTCTCCTTCCCCTACCCCCGCTGCAGGCTGAGTAGTACTAAAACTATCAAAACTACTTTTATAACAAAACTTTGCTCAGCTAAGTTTTCACATAAATGTTAGAACTCTGACAGTATAACTATAAAAAGGATTTTGAAAAATGGTCTCGGAGAAAACAGCTTCTTTAGAACTATAATAATAGCATTTACCTGTTTCAATATGTTATAACTGTTTCATAGGAGATCCTGGAAAGATTAAAACTTTGTACAACTTTCTTTCTCGTAAATATTTCTTAATTTTACAAATACTACAAGTACAAGTAGTTCTTTCTGACTTTGTAGTGTTACTTCTTTATGAGCAAAACTTCAGATTTACGGACAGCTAAGACCAATGCAACATTAACACACAACGGTCTCTAAGAGACAGCACAAAATAACTCCTACAGATGTCCTTTGAGTTCATCTATTAAATCGTCTACACTAACTTTGTCATCTGTCGTTAAACAACTTCTTAACGTCTTTTCAATCAGTTCAGCAGAGAATCCCAGCTGGTTCACGAGATTGTAGTTGTTTAGCAACCGATGGGTTTCATCCACGTCAATAAGACCTATAAAATAACAAAGCCTTAGAATTGAAGGAGATATGAACGTGCACTGAGAAATATATGGGATCTATTTAAGAAATAGACAACAATAATTTATTTTCCACGGCCTATACTCTTATAGACTGTAGAACTGACATCAAAATGTTCAAAACTCAAGTGGAACGAGTGGTTTCACGGCAGCCATTTCTGTGGTCTTAGGACTATAGAAAACTGTTGTTTTTTACATAACATTGGCCTCCATTTTCAGTGAAATTTCAATTTCACATGCAAGAGACAGAGAAAAACAAATTGTGACATCATTCTGATCATTAATCGCGTAATTTCAATGGTCTTTACCAGGGGCGGATCCAGGAGTTTTCTTAGGAGGGGGTGCAAACTAAGGAGTGGAGTAAGTGACTGGTGATGTAAACAAATTTTAAAAGCAAATATGAAGAAGGCTTTTGACCAGGCAGTAACATCATGTGAACTGCTAAAAATACATATCATACACATATGCATATTTTGCAGAATACCAGTTTTATTAGAAAATGGCAGGTCATTTCAGGTGAGGGGGGGTGCACTCCCTGCACCCTCCCCCTAGATCCAATTCTGTTTACTCTCATAAACCAAGAAATTTTCTCAACAAACTCTTGAAGAGGGAATGTGTGGAGATCAGTCTGGAGTATGTGTATGTACAATATGTAGTTATTGGATCCTAAAGGATCAAAGAGCTGTGCTAGAATCATGACACTAACCTGACTGATCAGAATCACACACATAAAGTGCATTTGCCAGCTTCATAAACCTCTTGACTTTACTTTCCTCCTCGTGGTAATGCGGTGGATCATAATCCCGATCATCTCCATATAATTTCTTTTTCTGGTGCTGTATGATCTGATCAATTTCTTCTTGCTCTTTTTGAATCTGTCGTTTTTTCTCGATCAGTTCATGCTGACGTCTTAACAGATCTCCTTGCCTCTCATTAACTGGTTCCGATACTTCAGCCTCTTGTGACCTTACATGGTCTCCATTTATACCACTCCCTTCAAGAATGTGATGTTGTTTATAGCTTCTACCTCTTCTTTGTTCCTCTAATTCTTTTACTGTCAAAATATAAAACCCAGTTAAACCTCTTATAAGTGCCCCACTCAAAATACAAACATTTGGTCGTGTCACCTGCAGTGTGCAAAGAAAGTAATGTCTGATAGCCTGAGACTAGTGGATTTTGCTGTTGGGCTAGTGAATTCTTTTTTTAACTTGCCCGACGCGCAATTGATGTTTTTTTGAGCAATTCCAGTACCAGAAGAACTGTGAAATCAATTCTGCTCGTCAAAAAGCTTTTTGGCCTAGTTGAAATGACATCTGGCCCCCGTTGTTCAGACGTTGGATAGTGCTATTCACCAGATAAATCACTATCCAGTGGATAAGTATCACAGAAATCAATTACACTATCTGCTGGATAGAGATTTATCCGGTGGATAGCGCTATCCAGCGTTTGAACAACCAGGGCCTTGGCTAGTAAATGCTAGCTTCAGCTTGCCCAAATGGCAAGCGGTAAAAATGATTTTCTTTGCACCCAGCATCTGAGAAGTGGTCTCTTACAATACAAGAATCAAGCTGCAAGGGGCCTCTTATGACAATAGATCTGGACCCATTTATTTTTTGGAAGGGAATTTCAGGACTGTCACAAAGATTTCAATCAGTTGTACTGTTATAATGTTCTTTTGGTTCTATTTTTCACCTTGTTTCTAAAGAAACTAACTTGAGATTATTCATATGGCAGCCACGGGGATTAACCCTTTCACTGCCTGAGTGCTTGAAGGAGTTTTGTAAGGTGCCTCTTTCCAGAAAGCATTAAATGATATAACATAAAAAAATAAAAACATTAGAAATTGGCTGTTTCGCAAAACTATGCAGCCAGGATACGCGGGCACTACCACAAATTTCAGATAATTGTTTTGAATGAACAAAAAAATTCTGGAATTAAAAATTTCAAACCCCCAAAATTCTTCAATTATCCCCTTTACTTGAAATCCAGAGTAACCCCCCTGGGGGAGATTTCTGACACTAATTTATTGTCATAGTAATACCTAGAATGTTATGTTGTTCTTGATCCATGCTTATATCATAAGATGGGTACCTTCCTTCATGGCTGACTCCCTTAAGGGGCTGTCTTGTTTCCCACACTGGTCTGTCAGGGGGAGTTTCTAAAACACGCCCACCATTCCTACTGTAACTGTGGCTCGAAGAAATGCTGGATGTTGGAAGAGGCAGGGCTCGCTCCACAAAGGACATGAATTCTAACCAACTGAAATAAGTACATCATGTTTGTTTCTTTGCTCATAATGTTGCTATGATTTCTCTCTTGGTGTATTAAACAGATTACTGACTGTTAAACAGTTAGATCACCACTATGGAATTCATCAAGAAGTCTCCGTCCTTGTCAGCTTCTAGGGCTGTAAGAATACACTGATGTGCAGTGTCTGGTCAGTGAACCACGATATTTCTTTTCAAGATAGGAATATCATCATAAAATAATTCAATGTATTTCTTACATCAGAAAATTTGTGAAATCACTGCCAAGTATTCCCAAAATAATTTGAGTGGAGGTGTGCAACATTGTTGCTAACATCCTCTTACACTATTCCAAATCATAAATTTCCACTAACCTCACTTTTCCAGAATTGTATTTGTCAAGTCTGTCGATGACTTTATCTAACAATGAGTTGTTGAAAGGAATATGATGCCTCAAACATATTGTCTTTAGCTAAAAGAAAAGGTGAGCAGGAACTATCATCAAACAAAAAATTTTACAGAAAAGGATAAAGAAACATCACAGTTACGTTAAAAATTTGCTTCATCCAATCAGAGGCACTTACCCAGATCTGGGTAGAGATGCAACTTCAGTATAGAATTTCTGCGCTCGTTTCTCAGACGACATTTGGGGGGGAAACCAGTGGTGGCGTCAGGAAATGCCAGCTTTTTTCTCACACTACAAGCCTTATGGCTCACAAAATTTTTCCATACAAACCCTATATAATTTTTTGGACATTCAGTGCACATCAGTCACCTCAAAATTGGCTCTCTACCTAATTTTCTCATGCACTTTCCATTTCTGGTAATCTTGAGGGTTTATCCAAATTTTTTAAAACTTTTTTTTCTTAGCAGATCAGGTGAAAGCAAGCTGCAAAGGGCTTATTGAGAGTGTTAAATACCTTTTGTGAGGATATAAATTCTGCTCCTGCCCCTTCTTGTTCCTCCAGATGTCTTCTCAATGCCTGTACATGTGCCTGGGCATCGTCAATCTCTTTTAGCATTTGTTCCATTTGCAACAAGATCTCTGTATCTTGCTTATCTTGAAAAGCTTTTCTTGCAGCTATAGCACTCTGGCGGCCTTTTGGCATATCATCAGACCTTGGTGATACCTGATTTGGTTTAAGTGGCAATTTGACTTCAGCCCTAGGCGAATTGCCCGACATTTTTTGTTGGAGTCGATCACCTGGATTTGACGTCAGATCAAGCTTTGGAATGTTAAACTCTCTTGTGACAGTTGGTTGAACAGCATTGCTGATGAACTTCAAAAGCTGTTCATAATTGACCCAGTTTGGCCTGTGAGCAGACATGAAAATTACCAACAACTCGTTTAAAAGCTCTCCTTTAAGAGGAATTTTTAGTCTAAAAAACTCTCTCTCGACTTGTTCTGCAGAAACAAATCCTGTCAAAGTGGAGTCATAACCTGCAAAACTGAGATACGCATCTTTTAGTTTTATAGTATCGAATCCCAGCAACACTGCATTAAGTCTTGAAGCCAAATCCCTTGTAGACTGATCCCCATCAACTCCTGATTTCTTTCGGATCGGTGGTAAAACTTGCGGCGAACTTGGGGATGAAAATTTTCTCAGGCCTTCCACAGACTTACTTTGATGATCATCAGGATTTTCCAGTGATTTTAGAATTTTTCGCGGCGGTGTGTCAGTTCTGTTTATCCACGGAGGAGGCGAGATCATAGAGCTCGATTTCTCAGAGTTTGCTGTTGACAAAACCGAAGAGCTTTGACCATACTGTTGTCCTGGAAGGCTCCATTCTGCCCGATTAACAGTTTTTGACTGATTAAGTGGCTTTCCATGATTGTCAACTGGAACTTCGACACGCTTTCCACCAACAATTTTCACCTCAAGATGCGGCTGATCATCTCGTCCAAAAGGCGCAAGACCTGCCATTTTGAATGTTTTCATCTATTGTGTAGGAGCTTATCTCGATAAAAAGAGCTCTTCGCAGTTAAGGAAATGATATCTGGTACTTCCATTATGAATGACATATGAAGAGAAACCCAGAACTGTTTTTTCTTCTCGATAATTAACCTTAAGATGATTTAGAGATTAATATAGTCAAATCCGCCGTATCACAAGCCCTATGTTGTTGCTAAGGTGTAAAACTTTGAGTGCTGCATACACAGACAATAAACTGAACAAAAGGATTCTGTTTTCCCTGGTTTCCAGACTCCACCGGTTGAAACACTCAGATCACCGGGAAAAGCAGAAGAAACTACAGTAGGAGGTGAGCACTGAACTTTTTCATACAATGAAACAGATCTTTGATGTAGGTTACAGATAGAAAGATAGACAAAAAATACCCTAGGTGAGTAGTGTGCCGATTGTGAGTGGATTACGCTTAAGAAAAAATTGACTTGAAACGAAAGGTATTGAACTGTCGCAATTGGTTTCGCTCTCCACGTTCAACATATATTGCTATTGCCGAGCCATGAAATCGAAGCAATGAAAAGAGGATAAATCAATTCATGCAAATAAGCATAAAGCAAAACGTAGAAACAGATGTGAAACCGATGTGAATTGTATAGGGAGCGTTCCCGCACCTCTCTCCCCAGTCCCCCTCTACTTTTCATCGCTTTCTTTACTTCGCACCGCTCTCCACTATCTGAACGCTTGGAACAGGCTACTGTCGAATATAGATAATGTCAATCACTTATCAATTCAAAAAATGGCAAGTAAAAGAAATTGAAACCTCGTCCGCAGGGGTTTTCCCTTAGAATGAGTAATCAGCTCCTGGCGTTGGGCGCTTTAATCTTGAATCAATTTATCAAGAAATTCCGCAAATTTCGGTTGGGTTGTTAATAGAACACAGGTTTCCCGGGCGTTCCACTGGAAAATTCCCGGGGAAAAGTGGAATTTTGAAAAGGTAGTCCGGTTTTCCTGATGGAAATGCATGTTCCATTTTCGAGTTTCCACAAGCTGTTCGCAGCAATATCTGTGTATCTGTGCCACCATCTTGAATTTTGGTGAAGAGGGCATAAACGAATGGAAATGGAACTCGTTCTTCACTCGATGGACCTTTCCGTGGAGGAAAGTTTTTTGGAAAATGGAGACGCTCCGTATGACTTGGGTGGGTCCTAGAGTTAAAGGGCCTGTGTCACGGCAGTCTAGTTCATTTTGTTTAATTTTGCCGATTACTCTCCCTCAATCGCTATGGAACTTAAAGTAAGCAAAGAAATTACATGTAAATGACAAAATCAGAGATCCGTGACAAACAAATATGTCTCCTGAGCATTATTTTCGAAGTTGCAAGCAGCAGAGATCAACTTTGAAAACTGTTAGGCTGAACAGTTTTCAAAAACCCTAACTTCAATCCGTTTCAATCGTCTTCAGTTTTGCCCATCCGTGGCATTTGTTGTTTCTGTTGTGTTATTTTAACCTTCCTTTAAAGTTTTAAGCGGTTATTTTTAGGTTTCTCTAAATTCAACGGGCATTTTGTAATTTCCTAATTTGGCTGAATTTCTCCGTGACACAGCTCTTAAGTATACCACCAAGTTCTCCAAATCCTTACCCTGTTTCAGGCCAAAACGTGCCATTTTGCACAGTCATTTTTAAACTTGGTCTCTTTAAACCCATACTTGTTTTCCTACCTGCTGGCTTGGGAAAACGTTTTTTCCTTTCCTTGAGTGAGCATCAAAGAGCAATGAGAATCACGCTATGAAAGCTTCAGTGGCGGATCCAGACCTTCAGATAAGGGGGGGCGGGGGGTCATCCAGACCCTGAGATAGGGGGGGGGGCGGTCTCCAAAAAATTTTTTTCGGTCCTTTCGGCCTCATTTTGGTCGAAAAATAAAGAGGGGTCGGCCCCCCGTGCCCCTCCCCTGGATCCGCCACTGAGCTTGCATGATATCAGGTGCTGTAAGATCTTAAAATCAGTACCCTTTTAAAGTTTTTGGAGGATTACGTAGGATTAAACATCACGATTGAAATAAAGTAGATAAAACAGGGATTGATGTCCTTCTCTCTCTCGGCTTAGATTAAAATGGAATCATCTACGTCTGGCGGAGAAGAAGGTCCTACGTTCTTTGATATCGAGGAACAGATCAAGTCTTTGCGAAAAAGTCTGTCTCATGTTTCGGCCTCGAGTGACTCGCTGAAATCTTCTTGTGAAGCCAAGCTCAAGGAGATCATTGACTGGGTGACTGAACAGAAGAAGAAAAACAAGGGAAAGTCAGAGAAAATACCCATTGAAAATGTAGCTAAAGCTCTCCAAGCCTCAATAAATGGCATGAAAAAGTTCAAAACAGGTGGCGGGAAACTGGCAGTTGCTGAAGGCATTTTGGAGATAGTAGCAAGTATGTCATGGTTAACAGGTCAACCTTATGGTACTCCATTGAAAGCAGTCTGTGTAGTTATCAGTGCTGTTCTTGTTTGTAACAAACCGGAGCAGGCAAGTGTGGTGGATCGACTCGCAAAAGTTGTACACGAGCAACTGGTAAACTTCAATACAAAATTGCAAGACCATAAATACAACGGTTTGAAACGCCGCCTGTCAGACCAGGTAACACAGTTGTGTACGATGAGGTCAGGGGAAAGACTAGATGATCCCAACCTTTGGAGTGACTTTATTCAGTTCTTAGGTGAGCTGTCAAACAGATTTGAAGCACCCCTGTCATTTCAGTATCACAAAGGATCTCTCACAAAAGATCCTGATTTGGCAGATTTTGTGACAGCTGTGGTGGCTTACTGTGAGGCTTACAACTGCTTCATGGCACTTTTGATGGTTGCTAAAGGAAAATTTGAAGCCTTGGGGCAGGAGTACAAAGATGATCAAGATGCGGTGGATCGAAGAATCAGCTGTCAGCAGAATGATGCTCGAGAAAAACTTACCTTCTTCTCAGATGCAAGATATCTGACATTTCTTGGAAGGATGCCTTATGAAGGAGGAAAACTTACAAAGATCGTCGCTTTAAGCAGAAATATCGAAGGTAAAGGGCTGGTAGAAACAGTCAGAAGAAGCTTAAGCTTGCCGCCAATGCCTGATTCAGCAACAGTTGAAACTGCTGCAGCTAAAGTAGCGGGCCAATCAGTAAAGTTGCGATTACAGGGACATCACGTACCTCCTGGATATGGCTTTAGGTGGCTAAAGGAATATGTCTTGGGTCCCCCCTTTTGGTTTCAGTGCGTCAATGAGACAGACTTTCCCATGAAGATTGTTTCCCGCCAGAAAGGTGGGACAGGTGAATTAAGTTTTATTCACGATGTACAGCCTCATTTATCCTGTCCAATAGGCTTTCAGACAGTAGTGTTCTTTTCTTGTGGGTATATGATCATTTTTCTGAATGGAAACGTAAGCCACGATTTGACACCACGGCCAGGAGATACCAGAGCAATAGAATTTGCTTTCTGCCGAAATTATTTTCTGGAACTTAACATTAACATTCAGGATAACACTGGCAATGAGTTCACTCAAGGGGAAAACGCTTACAACGCTATGAAGTCTGGTGAAGCGAAGACTCTCTACTGGTTTGACCGTGGAACGCACTTTCTGGCAAGAGCAGAGACTCTTTTGCGATGGCCACTTACTTGGCGACTTGTGATTCAGAACTTTGATCCTCTTGCAGTACAAGATTGAAGTATATAGTATTTGCTTGAGGGGGAGTTTCTTACCAAAGTTTCAGTATGGAGTCCTTATGAACAAAACGTTTAAAAACCAAAGTCAGTAGCGACTGTTTTTCTGCAAGAAGAACGAGAATGATTCTTTTTTGCACGCATGAAAACAAATTTTGGTAGTCTAAAGCAAATTTTAACGTTCTTCACTTAACTTGTTCTCTCTTAGAGAATTGCCTATAGAATGCCGTCTTTGGTCTTGGTAGCAATCGGCCTCAAGATAAAATATCAGTTTAATGTGTCTAAAAAGAACTTTTGCAAACTGTGATTTTGAAGGTTAAAAAAGAAGCGAAAGTAACGAGCTTGCCTTCTTAGTTCAAATTGCCAGAAACGAACTGACACTTAGATAGTTACAGTTGAGTGCAGGGTCTCAACTTTGTAAACTCAAGAGGCTCCTGTTATACTATGTTAGACCATGTTACCCTTTGTTTGACTTGTTTTTCAGAATTGGAGTGTAGGACATAAAAAAAGTATAAAGTATAATTGAATGGCAAAGTCTGGTTATTCGCTGGCTAAATAGCCTAATTTTCCAGGTATAACTAACTGTATAAGAGAGGAAAGGTGAGAATGAAACTCTTTCTTGCTGTCGGAATCGTGTCGGTTTATGATAATATCTGTTAGTGCATATCGTCTCGAAGTGTTGAATGACGTGTAATCGAGAACTTAGGGTCAAATCGTGATTGACAATGCAATTAGATCGGAAATCATAAGAGTGTAGACGACCAATCTGAATAGGGGGAGTTGTCTGTGTAAGGGGATCTCGGGGAACAGTTCGGGAGAGAGTTCAGATCTTGTAAAAACTAAGGAGATCGTGAGAGAAATGGATAGTGTTAAGAATCGCTTGTGACAGTGTTGGATAACTTAAGAGGCATTCCCAACACTTGCACTTGAATACATTGACGCGCGTCGGGTGAACACTGAACAACAGCTTGATCTTCTGTGTCATTCTGACTGCGCATTACCCAACCCACCGGTACTCGGGGACGAAATGACGTTATCTAACAAGCAGCAGTGTATGAAAAATAGTTCAGTGTTTCGTTTAATTCACAGCGTGGAGTAGAAAATTGCATGGTTCGACCATGTATTTGACGAAGCGAGTTGGAAATGTACAGCGAGCAAGGTCAAATACAAAGGTTGAGTTAAAAAGCGAAAAGATGAGTGCAAAAAAGTTTTCCAATAATGTGAAATCTAAAAGAAGAGTAAACAATTTTGAATTGAGCTGTAAAATTTAAGTATTGAAGTTGAAAATTTAAATCATGAAGTTAAAATTCAAACAATGAATTTTGGCGGGAATCGTACGCCATAAGACTGGGCGTTTCCCTCTTTGTCCCGTTATTCTCTCTTGTCATTACCAAATCGTTATCCCTTTAAGCCCCAGTATCCAGAATGAAATTCTCCCAACTGATCTCTATACATTTCCTTAAAGAATGTGTTCAGGGAATTTGATAAAAGGTAACAGTATTTTCTTTCTGGTGATCATTTCATTGATTCTCATAACCTAATCTCTTGACAAAGTTTCGGTATCATTAGGAGAAAATTGATGTCGGTCACTATTGGATCTTAAGGGTTAACTTACACTTTTCCAGAATAGTAGGAGAATTTTCATCGATATGCTGCACCTCTATGGCACACGCGGGGAATACTAAGATATGGGCGAAAATAATTTCCGCGTATGCGAAGAAGTGCAGCATAACCGGGTTTTCGTCGCTGAGGGGAGGAGGGGGGGCAAAAACGCAAGTATATATGCCCTCTCGGGGCATGAACGCATAGAAAAGCCATCTGATCAGTGATCCTGATGTTGACAAAGCATTTAAATACCACGCTCAATACCCAGGGGTAATGCAAAGGGTCCCAGGAGGGAAAACGTGCTAAATTATGGGGCCCGCGTGCCCATTTCGGAGCAAACATATCAATGAAAATAGTAGGAGAATTTTCATCGATATGCTGCACCTCTATGGCACACGCGGGGAATACTAAGATATGGGCGAAAATAATTTCTACCCGAGCGCCGAATTTCGCCACTAAGCCAACAACCTTAGAAAGATCGTCATATTCCCCCCAATCTCAGAAGCTCACCCTACGGGAACAGCTCTTGGAGACGCCTGTGCCGTGTGATATGGCCAAACACGCCGCACTAGAAAACAACCTGGCGGCAGGTACAAGAGTGTAAAGAAGTTTATGTTCCCACAGACTTCTGCAGGGACTTAGAAATACCGTCTTGTGGCTAAGCATATTTTCTAGAAAAGCAGCAAGTTTAACCGCCTTATCTAGGGGCATTAAAAACGTAGTGTAAGGAAAAATCTATGATATACCACAGAAACACCGACGCTTGTGTGGGAACAAGGGTCGACTTCCCAAAGCCAAACAAATAGCGGAGACCGATGAAGGAGACGGGAGCGGACCGGCCCAACTGGCGGGCTCCCCTTCCATTTACACCAGGAATGATAAGATCTGACGGAATCTCGTGCGTTTTAACCGAAGTTAAACAGTGCCTAAAAGCGAAATAATTGGAAATAGATTACCACGAAGGCAACGCACATATACCCCACGTGAAAGCTTTAAACCGAAACTGGAAAAAGAAATAAAGGGGGAAAGGGGGAGCCACCAACCAGGCCGATCCAGGAACCCCGTCACAGACAGAGTATCGGGCGTAATTTAGATTACCCGCCCCAGATCGACCGGACTGATAGCAGGAGCATAAGACCGAAAGTCATGAAATAACGACAAATTTCTCGAAGCGAGTAAAACAACACACAAGAAAAAACCAACCAAAACAAAGCGATGGGCCGATTTGCGTGACACGAGGTATACATGTAGTCGAGATGAACCTGCATAAAACTAACAACAGATGGCAAACGCCGAATAAATCTGGAACGTAAAAAACAGCCCAGGCAGCTAAACCGTAGAACCGCGGATGACTAATTCCAAATAACAGGATGAAAGCGGCCGTCTTCCGTTTAAGAGCCCCCCAGTGTGATCATCGCGCACTGATATTTGTAAACAAAACAGAACAGAGATGCCATGATCATGAATTCTATTCGAAACAGGAAAAATCGATGATAAAAGCACGTGCCGTGCGTACTGGCAATGGAAGCTTAACACTTTAACATCGCTTAAAAATGCCAAGTGAATAAAAGACGAGAAAACAAAAGGGCCCAAGGAAATAAACTAGAAAAAACTAATGTTGTAACCTCTATAACATTGACAAACAAACAAAGAAATAGAGAAGAAAAATTTCCGAATACTGGAACTAGTTGCGGAAAAGAAAACGTAAGCAACAACGAACGTGAATAAAAACGCGACAAACTACAGGATATGCGAAGGAGCACGCATGCAGAAAAAACACGGACCGCAAAGTATAGAAAATGTGAAATACAAGACCAAAATGACGCGCCGCACATGAGGACAAAAGAAGCAACACCATGAAAAACGATCCCAAAAGGGAGGAACGACATACTGAATAAATAAGAGCAGAAGATGCCAAATACTAGACTGAAAGTGACACACACTACGAAAACTAAATTAGGAGCAGAAAATACCATAAACAAACCAGCCTGAAAGGGATACGCGCTAATAACGGCTGAGGAAACCTTAGAGCGACACATGTTACAAAAACTAGTCTGAAAACATGCCGCTAACCTTAAGGCGACACACGCCATGACAACAACGTCAAGGTGGTACTTGCCCGGGCAAGTGGTAAGCGACACGCGCTGTGAACACTAAATGGAGAGCAAAATATGAAAGACACCATGAAACTAGAGTGAAAGCGACACACGCCAGAAACGGCTAACCGGAAGGCGACACACGCCGTAGAAACAACCTGAAGGCGACACACGCCGTGAAAACAACTTATAAACGACACACGCTAGAAATGGCTAACTGGAAGGCGAAACACGCCGTGAAAACAACCTGAAGGCGACACACGCCGTAAAAATAACCTGAAGGCGACACACGCCAGGAAAACAACTTATAAGCGACACACGCTATAAACACAAAATGGAGAGCAAAATACGAGAGACACCATGAAACTAGTGAGAGCGACACACGCCAGAAACGGCTAACCGGAAGGCGACACACGCCGCAGAAACAACCTAAAGGCGACAAACGCCGTGAAAACAACCTGAAGGCGACACACGCCATGAAAACAACTTATAAGCGACACACGCCATGAAAACAACTTATAAGCGACACACGCCATGAAAACAACTTATAAGCGACACACGCTAGAAATGGCTAACTGGAAGGCGACACACGCCGTGAAAACAACCTGAAGGTGACACACGCCGTAAAAACAACCTGAAGGCGACACACGCCATGAAAACAAACTTATAAGCGACACACGCTATAAACACAAAATGGAGAGCAAAGTGCGAAAGACACTATGAAACTAGTGAAAGCGACTCACGCCAGAAATGGCTAACTGGAGGGCGACACACGCCGAGAAAAACCAACGTGAAGGCGACACATGCTGAAACAACTGAAAGCGACGCACGCTATGAAACAACCCGAAGCGACACACGTTATGAAATGAAATGGAGAATGATACCCGCCATGAAATCCAGTCTGAAAGCGACTCACGCTATAAAAGGTAACTCGAAGGAGGTATTATAGCCGGGCGAACGGCTTCCAAAACATAAGGAAGGATAGCGTCAGGAGCCTAGGCCATGCTCAGCGACGAAAACCGGAACGGCACACAAAAAACGCAAGTATATATGCCCTCTCGGGGCATGAACGCATAGAAAAGCCATCTGATCAGTGATCCTGATGTTGACAAAGCATTTAAATACCACGCTCAATACCCAGGGGTAATGCAAAGGGTCCCAGGAGGGAAAACGTGCTAAATTATGGGGCCCGCGTGCCCATTTCGGAGCAAACATATCAATGAAAATAGTATATTAATACTTCATTTTGACATCATTTGAGTCGAGAAGGAAGATTGTGTCCCCACACACCGAAAAACTGAAAGTTAATGAAAGACTTAATTAATAGTTCCAGTATTTCGATGTTACGTTATATATCAACGCTGTAAGACGTGGTGCCATTATTTACCATAATGTTTAAGCGCATAAAAATTAACACAAATTTTCTTTAACTGAATATCAATGAACCTCATTAGCAAATAGATATGAATGTTGAGATTTTAAAAACACCGTGATCTGGAAGACGATAGATAAGAGTGGTGCTGTTCGGTGGAATATATAGTCTTCCTCAAACATTTAGGCAAGCAGAACCTTTACGTAATTTTGAGTAACTTTTGCACAGTTATTATAATATCAAGTAAGGCACGGCATTCATGGAAAACAGGCTCTTTTTTTTCGTATATACTTAATTGAATATTTTTAATACTGTATTTAGCGGAACCCAGTAAATGTAATTAAGGTTTTTAAATTTTTTATAATATCTCATGCCTGATTAATTTATAACACCGTGCATAAATAAAGATCACCTTACCTTACCTTAGAAAAGTTGTCCTGTTATGACAAGGCCAATCTCCGGAGTAAACTAATTTATACCCCACACTCTGTTGACGTAACACAAAGGAAACAAAGCATCTTTTAAAATAAATGTATAAACCCTAATGTCTCCATAACATATGGAAACACAGAAAAGAAACACATTGTTTTCACCTGGGATAACCTAAAAACTCAGCTGAAAACTGAACAAGACGCGGACCAGGAACAGCAGTGCCGGCTGCTGGTTAGGGTATTAAAGACGAAATGCACATTGCGGCACGGAAGCGAATGCTCAAGATACAACGTCAAGGATCCCTGCACTGGGTGCAAGATGGGTGTGAAACTTTGAGTGCTGCATACACAGAGTCGAAACTGAACAAAATCATACAAAGGGGTTCTGTTTTTCTTCGTTTCCAGACTCCACCGGTTGAAACACCCAGATCGAAAGAGGAAGCAGAAGAAACTACAGTAGGAGGTGAGCACTGAACTTTTTCATACAACGAAACAGATATTTGCTGTAGGTTACAGATAGAAAGAAAGACAAGAAAAAGCCTCAGGTGAGTAGTGTTCCCATTGTGAGTGGATTACACTTATGGAAAAACTGACTTGAAACGACGGGTACATGGAACTGTCGCAATTGGTTTCGCTCTCCACTGGCTCTGACGCTCAACATTGCTATTGGACCCTATTGCCGAACGATGAAAAGAGGATAAATCAATTCATGCAAATAAGCATCCAAGCAAAACGTAGAAACAGATGTGAAATTATGTGAATTCTATAGGGACTCGATCGAACAGAGAAAATGTAAATCACTTGTAAATTCAAAAAACGTATGTGGCAAGTAAAAGAAATTGAAACTTTGTTCGTCGGGGTTTTTCCCTTAGAAAAAGGATCAGCACTTGACGTGGACGCTTGAATCCATTTATCATGAAATTCCGCAAATACCGGTTGGGATGTTAATAGAACACACGTTTTCCCGGCCTTCCACTGGAAAATTCCCGCGAATAAGTGAAATTTTGAAAAGGTAGTCCTGTTTTCCCGGTGGAAATGCATGTTCCATTTACGAGTTTTCACAAGCTTTAAAATTTCACGGCAATATCTGTGTTACCATCTTGAATTTTGGTGACGAGAGCATAAACTTCACTCGATGGACCTTTCAGCTTTTTAATGTATAACGGCCATTCTTAGCTAAGGCTGCTCCTAAAAGTCTTAAGTTTGTGCGAAAATCAGTACAAAACATCATTATAATACGCGATTATCTGCAAAGGATGTTTCTCTGTCAAATTCTCCGGAACTGAAAAAATGAAAAAGTCTTTTACTAGAATTGGTTTTTTCTATTTTAAATTTAAAATTTTAATTGTCCTGCCTAGATTAGCATAAAAGCTATTTGCGGGGCATAAAGTATTGTAAACTTTATAGTTCTGTAAACCAATACATTGTTGTCGTTGTTGTTGTTTCCATGGGCGTTTCCAAAATTATTGGTAAATGGAAAACGCCCCGTATGACTCCGGTGGACGGGGGGTTGGGGGAGAAGGGCATTCCTAGGAATTCTTGCTCAAAGAGTACCACCAAGTTCTCTGAATCCTTACCCTGTTTCGGGCCAAAACGTGCCATTTTGTGCAGTCGTTCTCAAACTTGTTCTCTCTAAACCCATTCTTGTTTTCTCACCCGCTGGCTTGGGAAAACGTTTCTTCCTTTCCTTGAGTGAGCAATAAATGGCATGAAAAAGTTCAAGACAGGTAGCGGGAAACTGGAAGTTGCTGAAGGCATTTTGGAGATAGTAGCGAGTATGTCAGAGTTAACAGGCGAACCTCATGGTCCTCCATTGAAAGCAGTTTGTGTAATCATCAGTGCTGTTCTTGCTTATAAGAGACCGGAGCAAGCGAGTGTGGTGGATCGACTCGCACAAGTTGTACACGAGTAACTGGTAAACTTCAACACAAAATTGCCAGACCATAAATACAATGGTTTGAAACGCCGCCTGTCAGACCAGGTAACACAGTTGTGTACGATGAGATCAGGGGAAAGGCTAGTCGATCCCAACTTATGGAGTGACTTTATTCAGTTCTTAGGTGAGCTGTCAAACAGATTTG